AATTTGCATCCTATTGTTCTCTCCTCTTTTCCCAATTTCACACCTCAGTGCATGCACTGTTCGTTGATACTCATCTTTTTGTAGGCTAACATTGCTTCCAAAGTTGGGGGGATTCTCATTCACACTGTCTCGGTTGAGTTCTTTATTCAGCCAGCTCAGTTGCTGCTTTCGTACCCTTCTTAAGCCCAGAAAGAGGTTTATTTCTTTGAAGAATATCCAGTTTTTCTGGATTCTTTCACTGCCTAAACGTCCTTCCCTCAGGCCCCTAGCTAAAGTTTCCCCAAAGCTTACAGAAGCTGGCTTTCTGGAGATTAATCCTCTTTGTTTTGCTGGCTTCCCTCCTTCCTTCCTTTAGAATCTTAAGTGCCTTCTATTTCTTTTTTCCCCCCATGTTCTTTCTATGTTTATTTGTTTTGTCTTGCTTATAGAGACACCTAAAGGATGGAAGCTATGAGTCTGACTAATGCTCTGTAATTGCACAGTGCCTTATAGTCAACGGAAGCTTGGTGGTCATTGGATGATGATAATGTGACTGTTTCCAAGACTGCCCTTCCCTTTAACTTCCTAATTAATTTATTTCTCTCCCGTTTGCAGCCAAAATGGCCTTTTAATTCTTTCCAAGAACTCGTTTGCTAGTTCTGACTTGTTATGTTACTTTTTGAGCTGATGCAAGAATTGGGTAGTCAAAACTCCCCTTCAGAGAAGACATATGGCCCCCACCTTGGATGTCTACAATAAACTCCACCCCCCCCATTCCAACCAAAAGATCATATTTCTTGTTCCCTCCTCTCAAATGAAATCACAGACACTGTTTCTAGTTAGTAGAATGTTAGAGCTAGAAGGGGCTTTAGAGGTCGTCCAGACCCTTCATTTTACAGATGGGAAAACTGAGGCTAAAAGAGGTGAAAAATCTTGTACAAGTCATATATCCAATTAGTGGCAGAGCCAGGACTAGAACCCACATCTCCGGCTTCCTCATTCACCATTCTTTTCATCAATCTCTATCTTCGTTTAAGAACTAGATCTGCTGGTAAGAGAAAATACAGATCTCAAAACAAAACAAAAGAAGCATTTTAGACATCATAGAGCTAATCTATCAAGCTATTTAGGGAGGGCAGCTAGGTGGTACAGTGGATAGAGTGCCAGACCTGAATTCAAATCCGGGCTAAACACTTATTAGCTGTGCAACCCTGGACAAGTCACTTAACCTGTTTGCCTTAATCTACTGGAGAAGGAAATGGCAAACCATTCTAGAATTTTTGCCAAGAAAACCCCACTGATAGTACTGGTGTACTATGGTCCACAGGATCACAAAGTGTTGGACATGACCGAACAACAATGCTACAACTTTGCGTTGTGCATGGCACACAGTAAGTACTTAAATGCTTTTTTATTCATTCATTCATTCATTCAGTGATTCTCACAATGACCCTGTGATGTGGGTGCTATTATTATTCCCATTTTCCAGACGAACAAACTGAGGCTCAAAGAATTTGAGTGACTTGTCTAGAGTTACACACCTAAAAAAGTGTCTGAGTTAGTTATTAAAGTCCAGGGCTTCCAGACTCCAAGTCACCTCCCTGCTGTATCTACTACAGCAAGCCACTTCTTTAAGAATGACTCAAGAACCACGGTTCAATAAATATTTGTTGAAGGAATAAATGAGCAAAGGAGTATAATTTTATAGATTTTTTTTCCCCTTTCTCACCTATGACTTGCCAGACCAAAGTGGCTCCATTTATGTCATAAGTATTCAACCTTAAAGCAAAATGGCTTGTTTCAGCATCACAGAAAAAAGAGGCTGAGTTGCACATCTGATTTTTTTGTTTTGTTTTGGTTTTGGTTTTTGGGGGGTTTTTTGGTGAGGCTGCTGGGGTTAAGTGACTTGCCCAGAGTCACACAGCTAGTGAGAGTTATGTGTCTGAGGCCAGATCTGAACTCAGGTCCTCCTGACTCCAGGACCAGTGCTCTATCCACGGCACCACCTAGCTGCCCCTGATTGTTGCATCAACTGTTACAGAATAAAAGGGGAAAGTGAACCATAACTAGCAATTTTGGTGCCTTGGGCAGGCAGCACAAAACTCAACCCCAAAATCAATTTTGTTATCTGTGATATGAGAAAAACATGATAAGTAAATAAAGACAAATTCACCGAAATGGGAGGGGAGACCCTGACATGGTGAAAGAGACTGAAACACTAGAATGAATATCTCAAAGCAGCTAGGGTAGTGGGTAGAATACTCTCTGTTAGCTTCTTGTGATAACAAATTATTCTTGCTAACTTAGTGTTAATCTCTACTGTTTATACATTATCAAAGGAGTGCATGTGCTATCAAAATATATAAATGTAACACAATTTTAAATTGCATGCTTTTAAAATCATTATTAGAATGTTTTGCAAACTATAAATTTCACAGTCCCAGGACCAACCTCCAGTTGCCTTGCCCTAGTTTTGGCCCTGGGTCACTCCCACATCCTGACACTTGAACAGTATAGAGTCTGTGGGTCATTTCCACTGGAGGTTTTTTGGACTTGAGCTTTGAGTGTTGATTTCCCCAGTTACATCCTAGGTTTCTTAGCTCTGAACACTTTGAATCTGTGACCTCCCTTTACCTGGCTGAATATAAACTGCCTGAAGACAGACAAAGACTTTAGTATTCATGTCCTCATTACCTGCTACAGTGCCTGGCACATAGTAGGTGCTTAATTAATGGTTGCTGATTGATCGATAACAAGAGCTTAATAATTTATTGAATTGAATTAGGAAGTGAGTAGTGAAAAGTCTATTTTCAGGGATGGCTCTGAAATCAGGACCAATGGTGATCCAGGGCACCCTGACATGGCACTTTTAGACCAGAGAGAGGTTCTTAACCTGGAGTCTGAACTTTCAAAAAAATATTTTGATATCTGTCTTTCCACAGAATTGGTTTCCCTTGTAGTCCTATGTATTTTATTTCATACATTTCAAAGTGTTACTCTGAGAAGGGGTCCACAAAAGTTAAGAACCCACGCTCTAGGCAGTGGAGGCCTTATGAGAGCAGAAAGTAGCAGGACATCGGAGGAAGCTAGCTAGGAGCAAGCTCTTTCCAGAGAGCCAGTGTAACCTCTTGTGTGTTCTAAGCATCTCTTATACCCAGAGAGGAAGCTAGCTAGGGGCAGGCTCTTTCCAGAGAGCCAGTGTAACCTCTTGTGTGTTCTAAGCATCTCTTACACCCGGACAGGAAGCTAGCTAGGGGCAGGCTCTTTCCAGAGAGCCAGTGTAACCTCTTGTGTGTTCTAAGCATCTCTTACACCCGGACAGGAAGCTAGCTAGGGGCAGGCTCTTTCCAGAGAGCCAGTGTAACCCCTTGTGTGTTCTAAGCATCTCTTACACCCGGACAGGAAGCTAGCTAGGGGCAGGCTCTTTCCAGAGAGCCAGTGTAACCTTCTGCATCTTCTAAGCATCTCACATGCCCAGATCAAACTTATTAAGCACACAACAAAACCCACTTAAAGCAGAACACCTCACACCCATTCCTGGGCTTCTCCATCTGTCTGTGCTTACTGTGGTCTGACATCTTGCCATGATGATGAGCCCTAAATCTTGATCTGGAAAGACTACTTCCTGTCCCAGGAATTTATCAGGGCTCCAGTGGACTGGCTTGGGGGCCTCCTCCAGAGAGTGTTTGATTGGCTCTGGAAGGTGTTCTTCATGAGGGGTCAAGAACTGGCATTCGTTACCTCTAGGATCCTACAGGCCAGAAGAGATGCCCCTCAGAGCAGCTAACCCATCAGACCAAACCTCCAGGCATATAGCTAGCAGAGCTGCCTCAGAATGTGGTTGGGCTGATGTGATTAGATGGTAACTGGGGATTATTATTATTCCCATCTCACACATGAATAAAACAAGCAGCTAGGTGACTTGGCCAAGATCACACAGCTATTACATGTCTGAGGCAAGACTCAAAACCAGGTTATTCTGATTCCAAGTCCAGTGCTCTGGGGCAGGGAACCAGGACTGTTTGCTGCTTCCTCATAAAAACACTGAGCAAAGGAAATATATTTCACACACCCATCTCACCAAAACATAGATTTAAAGTTGTTAAGGGATTGTAGAGGGCATATAGTTAACAATTCCTTCATTTTATAGTTGAGCATACAGAGACTCTAGAAAGCTAGGTGGCACAGTGAATAGAGTGCTGGACTTGGAATCAGGAAGACCCATCTTCCTGAGTTCAAATCTGGCCTCAGATACTTACTAGTTGCGTGACCCTGGATGAGTCACTTAACCCTTAACTCAGTTTCTCATCTGTAAAATGAGCTGGAGAAGGAAATGGCAAACCATTCTAGTATCTTTGTCAAGAAAACCCCAAATGGGGTCACAAAGAGTCGGACATGACTGAAATGACCAAACAACAAAATACTGAGACTCTAAGAAAGTAAGTGACTTGTCCACAGTCACACAAGTATGAAAAGGCAGAGGCAGGACTCAAACCCAGATCCCCTGCCTCCAAAACCAGCACTCTTTCATGTCAATCAGCACACGTCTATCAAATATTATGGAGTTCCATAAATAAAGCGCGTGCGCGCGCGCGTGTGTGTAAGTGTTTTCAGCTGCATTAATTAGCTGGAGGGCTGAGCTGTATCTAGGAAGGCATGTTTTTTGTTTTGCTTTACAGCACAAATGCACAGCCACACACAGAGGGAGAAAGCTTCCCTGCTGGCCTGCTTAATGGGTACCATGTGGGGTTCCATCTCCTGAATGCTTACCAGAGACAAAAATATAAAGTGCTCATCAACTCACAGTGTTCTCCTGCCCTAAAATCTAAATGTGCTGGGGGACGGTACTCCCATTCCTGGCTTGGGCCTCTTCACCTGCTACAAAGAAGGCATCAAATCTTTACTATCAGCTTATTGGATGCCCTACACTTCCATACTGGGGGGACAGGCAAGACAGCCACATGTGAACAAATGGTAAGCTCAGGTTTCCACGCCCACACAAAACCATGCTGCTGGCCTACCTGTCTCACACCATTCTGATTCTCTCTCTGGTCAGCGTGCTTGGCCCCTGCACTGGTACCTCTTTGCCCAGCCTCATTTCTGTGAACAGGGCTGAAAACATGTTGACAGGATGGGCTTCCCCCAAGGGTGTTATCGCAAAGTCTCTGTTCTGTGCTCATACATTTGACCAGATCTGATGGCTTCAAGCAGCTCTTCTTAGAGATCTTGGATCCATCGGGACAGTACTCCCCTGCCTCTTTATTAGGCTTCCTTGAACACTGTCTGTTTTCTTCTTGCCACTGTTGGAACTTGGCTTGATTGCTAATGGCATCACTAAGCTCAGAGATAACACTATTGGAGTTCCCCAGCAGTGGCTGGGAGAAGGTATCCCATTTAACACTGGGGGATGGTGAGTACACAATATTTTCTTCATTTGAATGAAGGGTAGTACTGACGTTGTGAATGGTAGAAGATGGTCTGTGAGGGTTAGGGGGGAACGGAGAAACCAAAAGGCTTGGGCTAGAGCAATCTGAGATACTAGAATGAGGACGGCTTACTGAAACGGTAGGACTGGCCAAGGCTGAGGAAGTAAAGTATTCAGTGTTATAAAGAGAGGTCTCTGGCAGAGGAGGCAATGGTGGGGTCACAGCTGGAGTACTTCTGCCTGGAACCCCTACAGTCAGGGAGATCCACTCAGAGGTGATGGCATGCATCTCAGGAGACAACACCTGATGTGAACAAGGTAGAGATTGGGGTGCTGGGGAGTGGCACTTGCCATGACTTGGAAACTTAAGAGGAAACAAAAAGAGAAAGAGAGGAAGAAATAAGCAAAATAAAAGAAAAAAGGTATCAGATTTTAGAACACACACAAAACCCCTAAGTAGCCCCCAAAAGTACCAAAAAAGAAATGAAATGAAAAGACAAGCAGAACACACACGATTGTTCAAAAAGGAAATTCTCTTTGGAGCAAAGATGGATGAGATATGGACAAAGGGACTGCAGTACTTGCCCTGGGTATGTAATCAGAAAGGAAATACCATGACAGATGTCCACCAAGGACTCTGTGTGTACCTGTTTGTATTAGGGGTAGGTTAGAGAGATAGGGAGAAGTACCAGGGGATTTAGGGAAATGTTCTTAACACCAGTGTAAAAACTCATAATACTAGCCCCCTAGTTTGGAGACAGTTTCAAATAGCACAGTGAGAGCCTTTCATTTCCTCACAGACCCACCCACCCAAAACTCACCTCTTTAAATGAGACTTTGAGATTAGGATAACTAAGTGGTTTTCTACCTTACTGTCACAGGCCAATGATCTAGAATTTTAAGATCAAGGATCTGAATTCTAACGAACCTGATCTTTCTCAAGCCACTATTTTCAAGGATATCTCAAAACTCCTCCCCTGAGCCTCCATATCCACACAGGAGTGCCATCTTTGTTTTGGTGCATTCTTTGGGCAGAGAGGTATAGTGGAAAGGGCACTGAATTTAAGAAAACATGGGCTTTATAGATAGCTCTGCCATTTACTGGCCATGTCATTATGGCCCTCTTTGAGACTCAGTTTCCTAGTCTGTAAAATGGGGATAACAATACTTGATTAGCCTACCTCACAGGTTGCTTGTCAGGATCAAATGAGTTATTAATGTATGCAAAGTGACTTGTAAACCTTGAAGCACCACGGACAAGTGTGATATTATTAATATTGTTAATATGATTCTTTGTTATTGGATTTTGATCTCCCCTAACAGAGGGAGTCCTAAATGAGTCTTCCAGAGGGTCATTTGAATAATCATCTTTTCCTCTAAGAGTTTCTCACTGAGGTTTATGCAACAGTGGAATCTAACAGAATTACCTGAATTATTACAAAGCTTCTTAAAAGACTTTCCAACCAAGCAGGAAGTGGCAGGGGCCCCCACTGTGAAGACCTATCAGAATAATTCCCTTGAGCTTATCAGTGAGCTCATGGGCAAGGAGAAGCCTTTTTAAGCATATGAGGAAATGAGAATGTCCTTCTCAGTTAATTCTGCTACTCTGCCCACCCCACCCACTTTAAAATCTCCTCTCTCCTCCTGTTGAACATGCACATTATAACCTAATTCATGACAATGAATTATGGTTATAGTTAATTTTACTAACTGTCAATCTCACTCCTAGCCTTCTTGAGACTTAAGGTCTTGGGTTTGGCATAGCACAGCTTGTATTTCAAGTGAATTTGATTGAATTAGTGTGATCAGTAAAGACAGACTCATGACATGCCCAGACACTGAATTCCTCCTCCATAGAGGCAAGGCTGGCCAAGCAGAGGTCCCCCAAATTCCTCTAGATAAAGATTATCCTTGCAGTACATCTCAGAGAATTCTACACCAACATTGCTCCTCATACTAAATCCACTCAGGCCTATAAGGAAAGAAACCACATTAGAAAGTGGTATCTGTGACATTGATTAGAAATGTGAGCTCCTTCTATATGGGATACTTAAGGGTCAAGGAGCTGGATTAAGGAATGGGCTGGGCTGAATCAGCCCACTGATTTCAATTTGATTTGACTCTTGCAGACCCTAGAAAACTTCCCAAGCTTTATCTTATTCCCTAGCTATTCAATCTTAATCACAGATATTCATTCACAAGCAAACCATCTGTTTTTTAAGAAGGAGGCTGGAAAAAGAATAACCATGCATAAAATGAAACAAAAAACACCCTTGGTTCACTTATGAATTGCATCAGAGGAGCTTGCTTACAGCACTCGGGGATTGGCTCCAAGGTAGCTGTGTGAACCACAATGGAAGATTTGTCCTACAAAGTACAGAAACTGATCAGGAGAAATGTAGATACCTGGGGAGAAGCGGTCGTACTTCGATTTGGAGAAGAGAATGGCAGATCAATGTAATCAACTGGGTTTTTCAACAGAGGTCTCTTGATCACATCCACATATGTAATGGGAAAGATGCCTTGTCGAGTGGTACCACAGATTCGCCCTTCATACCAGTTCTCATCAACCTGTCGAATTAATGTGATCCTCTCCCCCTGGGAAAAACAATAGTATAGCTCTGGTCTCAAAATTCCTTTGACCTTTAGGACTGACCAGTCCATAGCAAGACCCCTCCCATAGGCATCTATCTATTCAGGGCTACTTTCTCAGGCTCAGATAGCGATCTCCGTTCTGGAGAAGAACAAAACATAGTCACCAGTTAGTGGAGGGTAGATCACAAATCCAAGGCTACATGGCAGGGAGACTATCTTTTTAAACTTCATATGAGAGTGAAGAGATGATGTTACCAACTAACTCTACTATTCTTAATTACCGCCCAAAAGGAGTTTACTAACTCCACTGTATGAATTTAAATAAGAAGATACAGCTCCCTCTCTTAGGCAGCTAGGTGGTATAGTGGACAGAGCTCTGGACTTGGAGTCAAGAACTCACAAATTCAAATCTTGCCTCAGACACTTATTAGCAATGGGACTCCGAGCAAATGACTCAACCTTTCAGCCTCAGTTCCTTCATCTGTAAAATGGGGATGATGATAATAGCAGCTACCTCACAGGGCTGTCATGTGAACCAAAAGAGAAAATATGTGAAGCACTTAAAAAACTTAAGCGTTATATAAATGCTAGCTTTTGTTGTTGTTGTTTTTTATTATTATTTACAGAGGTGGGGGACTTTGGATGTGGAACATTACATATACTGTCAGACTTGGCTGATGTATTGAATAATTTTGCTCAACTGCTTCCCTTCCCCCCCTTCTTTGTGACGAGGGATGGTTTATTGTGTAGGGGAGGTAGAAGGAATATGTTTGGAAATGAAGGATTTGTAAAAACAAAAGATCTCAATTTTTAAAAAGGAGATTTGGGTTCCTTGAAAAAGGAGAGTTTATAAATAAACATAAGCTTTACAGAAGACTATTTAAGACTCTCAGGCTCCAGAAATATGACATTAATTTGCAAATAATGGCCATGCCACTAGGCTAGAGTTTAGTTGAGGTTTCCTGAGCTTTGAGAAACACCCATAACTCAATCTATACAGCTATGTTGTGTTTAGGAAGCCCCAAAGGTCTCTGATAGCCTGGTCCAGAAGTGCGATGCCAGTTTCCCCACTGAGATGGCACTACCCAAGACATCCTAAAGTATCTTTGAGGGAAGGACTGTCTTACCTTTCTGAAGGACATCTCCACTTGGGTGTCTCCATTGAAGTTAAACTTAGCCACGGCATCTCCATATTCTAAAACTTGTATTGGCGCCATCTTTTTGGGTTGTGCCTTCTCTGCTGGTGGAAGAAGCTGAGAGAAAGGAAAGAAAAACCAGGGAAAACAAAGAAGGATGGAGGGAGGGGAGATCCACAATGCAGTCTGTCAAGAAAGAGTATTTTTAGAATGAGCAGTACTTTATCTCAGAAAGGGGAGGGAGGGAAGATACCTCTATGTACGTCCGTGGAAAGATCCCCACACGGCCATGATGTTCTCCTTCATACCAGTTCTGATCAATTTGCTTATAGATGTAAACAATATCTCCTTTCTGCAGAGGAAGCTCTCTGTCAACAGAGCATGATTGCAAGAGTTTTGTGACATTCAAAAATGAAGAAGCATTATTACATTAGATAGAGGGGATATTGGTAAGAACATAAAATGACAGTACAGGGTGTGTACCAATTTTACATGAAGAACTCCACTGCATAGAATGAGCACTATTCTTTGCGTTTTTCAAAGGGTCCAGTATAAGATGATTGTAACAGCTTACATTTATTTAGCTCTTTAGGGCTGGTAAAGCTCTTTATATACATTATCCCATCTGGTTCTCTCAACAACCTTATAGAGGAAGTGCTATTATCCTTACTTTACAGAGGGGCATATGAAGCTCACAGAGGTTACTTAATCTCTTGTCCTGAGTCACACAGCTACTTAGTGTCTTAGGTAGGATTTGAACCCAGGTTTTCCTAACCCCAAGGCCCATGTTTCATCAAAAAAAAAAGTCAAGATTCCTCTCTTAATGCATTCACAGACCAGCAGTGGGAAAATGATTTGTGTTCTCAGAGGTTTCCATAGCCAGAAAATAGTCAATAATGACCAATACTTTTGGTTGTAAATTGTTTTTCCAACCCATTTCATGACTTGTATACTATATCTGATTTCACTGGATGCTCCCTAATGTTAGGGTACACAGAAGGGCAGAATGTTAGTGCTGGAAGGAATTTAGAGCTAATCATTAAGTCCATCCCCCTCAGCTGACAGGGCATGAGGCTGAGGCCCAGAGAGACAAAATGATTTGCTTAAATTCACACAATATTAATAACAGAGCTGGAACTAGATCCCACATCTCCCAATTCCTGGTGCTTTCCTCTGTACCCCATAAATCTGTCAGCAGAATATGAACTTAATGACTAAAACTCTCTTTTGGGACCCTTGAAGAAGAGGCTATGGGATGAAGAGGTGGGGATAATCATTGTTTCTGAGATCTGTATAGCTTGTTTCTTCACTCTCTCCAAGGCTGATAGGAGAAGACCAGCCCAGGGAGAGAAGAATCACCAGTAACTGGGAGCTACCATCCTCTAGGCTATGGTGATCAGTCCCAAATCTTGTAAGGACCTGGAAGTAAGAACTGAGAACTTAGGACTGCAGATCCTAGATTCTATTCCTAACTGATTAGTCGTACGGAGCAAAGCTCCTTTAATTTCCTCTGGGCTACATTTTCCTCATCTCTCAAAGGGTAGGATATATCATAAAGGGGGATGAGGGAGTCTCTGAATCTAATATTTAAGCTGAATATATTGTGTTTGGTAGTCATATTTATGCTGTTAGAAGTAGCATGGTATGGTGAAAAGAGAATTTGCTTAGGAGTTGGGAGATTTCTCTGTTCCTAGCCTAGCCAAGAATGTGCTCTATGACCTTTGGAAAGTCTCTTATGGATTCACAGATTGTTGTATCTGGAACATACATTAGAGATTGGCTATAGAATACAGTCAATCAGTCAATAAAGATTCATGAAGTATCTACTACACGCCAGGCACTATGCCAAGCACTGAAGATACAAATAAAGGCAAAAGACAGTTCTTGCCCTCAAGGAGCTTACAGTCTAATAGGCAAGACAACATGTAAACAAGCTCCTTGAGGGCAGGGAATTTATCTTGGCCTTTGTATATATACCTAGCACAGTGCCTGGCACATAATAAGTACTTAATAAATGCTTGCTGCTTGTTTGGTTCATTTGGTCCAATTTCATTATTTTGTAGATCAGCAAATCAGAGACTTAAACCTGGGTGGGAACTTGGAATTCAGTTGAGTCGAACCTCTTCATTTTACAGATGACGAAAGGAAGGCCTGTTGAAGTCAGTGACCTGTCCAAGGTCCTACAGTCGGTGAGTGAGAGAACCAGGCTTGAATTGAAGTCTCCTAACTTTTGGTTCAGCGTTTTCTTTTCTTACTGTCCCATGCTGCCTTAACTACCCCCTGCCTCAGTTTCCTCTTCTATAAAATAAGGATTATAAGTATATTACAAATAGTTCATAAGGTTATCCTGAATAGGAAAGCATTTTAAAATTTAAAAAAAAATCATAGCTTTAGAACCAGAGGAGACCTCAGAAGTTAGAAGTGTGATATAAATTCAAGATTATTATTTTGTTAACCCTTAATGAAATTCATAGTTTTTCAATTCGAAGAAAAAAAATCAAATACTTGATCAAGCTTAAATATTTATTTATGCCATCTTGGTCTTGGCCACCCTCACTAACAATAAAATTATATAAATAATTTCATAAAACCTTAGCATCAGAAGGAACCTTATAGAAATTATATGCCAATGCTCTCATTTTTTAAAAATGAGAAAACTGAGGCTCGGGGAAATTGAGAAAACTATTCAAAAGCACATGACCATTAATGGCAAACATGGGACTATGAAATTCTCCCAACTCCTAGGTCTATACCCTATCTACTACCTTGTAATTCAGGTAGTGAGAAAAGGCAAGTCTATATTCTTTATATTTTTTCTTTCCCATTTCTATAATTTCTTTCTCCTACTGGTAGACAAGGAAAGAGGGGATTGACAGTAGAATACAAGTAAACCCCCCCACTACCAGACCTATTAGGATTTAAGGTCACAAGTAGTGTGAGTACACGGGAGCTTCAGTAAGTGTTGGAGGGAGCCAGGACCATAGCTCCTTCTATTGCAGTTAACATTCTCTAGGGTCTAACAAGGGAGGAGGACAGGGAGGCTCTGTGTCTCAGAGCAGTAACTAGGGTGGAGAGACCAGAACTTCGATGTAAGACATTGAAATTTGGAGGCCTTTGACAACACTTTTACATAGTTAACAAGAATCATTAGTTAAATATGAAGCTAGCAGCTGGCACTCTTCCTCCCCTGTCATAGCTGAACTCCAGGCAAATTTCCCCACGGTCTTCTTGCTCTGTTCTCTCATTCCCAACTGAATTGTTCTGAATGCCAAGATTGCAGGTTATAGCTCTAGGAAGATTTCTTGCAATTCCCCAAATGTGGGCTAGCATTAGTGCTAGGTAGAGTAAAAGTATGCATTTCAACTTTAGCGACCATCCCAAATCTTAAGCTCAATCTGAATTTGTCATCAGAGATAAAATGATTGAGGACAATCTTTCCAGGGTTCTCTTTATGGCAGAGATCTTAGGATCATGTGCTCCAAGACTTTAGAAGAAGTTCTAAACTTAAGCCAGAAGACCTGGGTTCAAGACTCAAAACCCAGGTTGTATACTTACTAACTCTGCAGGTCATTTCCCAGTTTTGAGCCTGTTTTCTTCTCTGTAAAATGAGGATAATATTTGCACTATATACTTTACAGAATTGTTAAAAGAGCAAGATTTGGTAAAGTGCTTTGTAACTAGAAAACAGTATATAGGACTGAGCTATAATAATAATAATTGCTACTATTACTACTATTGTTATTATTGTTAATAGTAGTCATAATAGTGGTTATATGAATACAACTCCTTGTAGATGTAGTCCATATTCTCTTGGCTACATTGCTCTAGAAGGATTTTTCTGATTGAATTGCTTTGCCCAGCCAATCCATTAGGTCACTCAACATATCCTTCTCCCAGGGCGGAGAGGTGTGCCTTACAGACAACGTGCTACCTGTAGTAGGCAGATGGAACAGCTGACAGCCAGGTCCAGTTAAACTTACTTTAGTGTCTGAGCTTTAAAGTCAAATTTGGCTCTGGCAGGTCTCATCTAAACACAAGAGACAATAACAAATTAAAACAGTGGTTTTCTTAAAAAGAAGAAAAGCCCAAAAGTCTGTGACTTTCCTGAAAGCGAAGCAGAAAAAAAAATGCACCCTAGCTATTTCCTTTAAAAGCAGAAATCTGGGCAACATTCCAGCCATCTGGCCTTCTGAGCAGATGCTTGTCTCTATGGTCAGAAATCTTGTACATGCATGAGACATTCCAAGTGGGAGTACCATATTTGGAGAAAATAGAATATGAAAGTTTAAAGATAAACCTGGTAACCTGAAAGCAGATTTATGACTTGACTATTTCTAGTTGATATAGCTAGACCCAAGCTACCCAGGAGTCCTGGGTCCACTATTCTTCATTCTTAATATACCTTTATTGGGCCACTCATCAAACTGTCTGACTTTCATCATGACATACAAGTGGGTAAGACCTGCCCCCCTCAACTTTATTTCTAGCTTTGACCTTATCTCCAGTCTCTTTTGAGCATTTCTTGTAGTCTATACCATAGGATTCCCTAGCTTCATTCAACAAACATTTATTAAGGCCCTGGTCATGGACCCAGGCACCATGGCTGTCTCCACATCTTCCCCTACATGTAACTGCATGCACCTCTTTCATTGTAACTGAGTTGTGTCAAAAACAGAACTCATTATCTCCCTCCCCTCCCACCCCTGTTAATAATGTCCCATCCCTCAGACACATAACCTTGAGGTGATCCTCCATTTTCTCTTGCCTGTACCTTACTCATTCAATCTTGCCATCCAGTCACACTAACACTTCCTCCAAAATGGCTCTTGTCATAGTTTGGCAGGTTCATAGATACAGAGTTGGAAGGGACTTCACAAGTCATTTTAATTGAACCTCTTTGTTTTACAGATGAGAAAATGGAGGCCAAAGGGAGTTAAATGGCTTGCCTGTAGTCACACAGTGAATTAGTGGCAGGGAGAGGTCTCCCGATTCCGGAGCCAGTGCTCTATCTACTTTGCCATGCTGCATCTCAGAGCTGACCCTCCGCATCTCCACAATTACAACGTTTGTGACCTGACTCCTGCCTTTTTCATTTCAATCTATCCTACACATAGGAACAGAAACATTTCAATCAAATTATTCCTCTTCTTAGAACAGGGACTCTCACCTCACTCACATTTTGAATCCAAACTCCTGACTGTGGGTTTAAGGCTGTTCAGTACTACACCTGACCCTTCCTCATAATTGCCTCCATCCCTTACTATACTTTCAGATTTCTAGACTCATAGAACAGTAGAGCTGGAAGAGATCTCAAGGGTCATCTAGTCCAACCCCTTTATATTACAAATGAGGACACTGGGGCCCAGGCAGATGAAGCAACTTGCCCAAAGTTACATAGTGATTTAATAGCAGAGTCAAGAATTAAACTCAGATCTTCTAACTCCCTATGGAGTGTCATCTCTCAACCAGGCAAACCTATTTGCTGCTCCCTATACAAGCTTCCCTACCTGTAAGGCCTGCCCACTCCCCAGTCTGACCAATGCTAATATGTCTTTGAAAGTGGCTTCACTAAATACACTCATACACATGCTAATTTCTCTATCCAAGCTCTCAGACTGGCTCCTGCAGCTATGACCAACTTAAGAAACCCACCAGAGGGGAATAAGTGTTCAGATGAGGAGCTAAGTCTTTTCTCCTCCAAAACAGAGGCAGGAAATATTCAAGTGAGAAAATAAATGAGGGTAGAAAAGTTTGCTCAAGACTAGCCTACAGGAAACCTCTTTTGGTTATGTGAATGTATGTATATTGTCATTAGGATAGGCTTGTAGATTGAAACATCCTCACATCACAAAGAAAGATTTTTAAAAATCCTTCACTAGGACATTCAGAAACCTGGAGGCCAAAACTGGTTCTTCTGCACCTAGGTAGCATGGTAGCTATCCCTTCTTCTGCCTCTAGGCATGGACCCATTAATGAGTCAGCCACATTTTCTACATCAGCCACCTTCCTTCTCTCCTCTTCCATTTAATTTCATTTTGTACTCATCACTTTGATATCCTCTTCCTTGGTGCCCTCCTCAACTTCTCCTTCCCATCATTTCCACTTCTCTTATCCCTTTATTTCCTTCCTCACATCCTTTCTTCCCTTCATGGTGTTCCTTATCCTTCATCCATGTTATTCATATCTTCACAGTGATGTATCTGCTCCTCACAGGATGTCGTCAACAACATGGACACAGTAACTCACCTTGAAAGATCACCAAATCCTTTTTTTCCCCAAATCAAACTTCTAGAATCACTTTGGCCATAAATATATACACACATATATATATATATATATATATTTTTTTAATGAAAACCAGTCATCTTTGGCAGGGCTACTTGAGAGTCATGACACATGATACATACAATTAAATCACTTAGTGTTTAGAAGGCTATGAGATCTTCAGAAAATCACCTTAAAGAGACTTCTTTCACTATCTCTTCTGTAAGGATTAAATCTCATTGCCGTTAAAATTTTAGGTATTTTAGGAATGAATCAACTATGCAAACATTTTCCAGAGTTGTTAACTACTGTCTGGAGCTTTCCCAACTCTGGTGAATTCTACAGTTGGGGAATTTAAATTCAAGCAAATATTCAGGGCAATTCTTGAATTCTCCAGATAATTTTCTGTAGCATAGCCCTGCCCAAGTTTCACTGGACCATCTGATCAAAGGCACAAATTATGAATGGCCAAACTAGAAGGTATTCACACATTGGGATCAACAAGACATACAAGTTCTAAGCAGAAGGCAGAGACAAAACAATACCATAGCGATATGATGCAGGACTGGGCTCATAAAGATAGCTGATGCTTAAAAGCATGCATTGAAGGGTGTACCAGCAGGTCTCAGCAAGGCATGCTTTAACATACACAGCTCCTGACGTCATAGAAATTGCTTCCATTGACCAGCCACAAGAGAGCCAAAGCAAGCCTAAATAAAGCCAGTATGAAAGATGTTGCTTGAAGAACTAATGTTGGCCTATAGGATAACATGGTAGGAGGCAAATACGGCTTTGGGTCAAGCAGCAAACAGAGGTAACTCCAACAGACCTCTAACCCAGATTTCCTCTTTGCTGTATCGTCTACATTTAGGAGGTCCCCAAACCGCTCATTAGTGATAAACTGATGGTGGGTTGGAATAACACCCGTGTGCCGTCTAGCTGCAATATCAGCTTCTTCTTGTTCACGCTTAAGCCGTCTCTGGTCCGCTAAAAGTTTCTGCCATGAAATCGCATAAAATGGACAATGAAATATCTGGTCCTGGGAATTTGAAAACTGCCAACAAAAACAACTGAGGATAAAGAGGCTGTGGAAACCCATCTGGCTAGTATAGCAGAGTACACTTAGCTGATCAATACTAGTCTTGAAGAAAACCTGATAAAGCTAATCACTTAATGAAATCTAATTTATTTGTACTGTAAAACAAAATGAAATCACACCAACAAAAGCAAAATTGGGGGGAGGCTTTGCTCTCCATTAAGACCAGAGGTGTCAAACACGTAGTCCATGAGCCACATAGCAGCCTATGACATACCTGACTGCAGCTGGACCCATATTAAAATGTAATTGGGAAATATTTTAAATAAATGAAATATTTAATATAAACATTATTAAAATTATTCATTTTTAATTTGTAGAATTTAAATTACTGAAATAAATATTATTTAAATAAAATCCATATTTAAACTAAATGAAAAATATAATAGAACATAGATAATGTTGATACGTGGTTTTCTAAGTCAACACGCAGCCCACAGGGATCTTTATGTATGGTTTGATGGCCCCTGTTTCTATTTGAGTTTGACACCACTGATCTAGAGACAAAATAAGGGAAATATGAAAGTGGTCTAAATGAGATAAAATATTCCATAAATGCAATTAACAACAATATTGCTTTTGCTTATACAGGTAGCATTCCTGACCCACCATCAATAGAACATGAGTTTTGAGTTATTTTTCCAGAAGTAGGAATGGGTTTATACCTAGCCATCCAAATTCTTCATACTTGTTACAATCAGTTAATATGTATTTGCAAGATGGCTAACGAGGGCTTATCAGAAGATCTAAGGTCATACAACAACAGAGCAACACTGACCATCCCACAGATAGATAAAACTATTAACCCTGGTCTTGTAAGCAATGTGTTTACCCAGGCAACCAAAGATAAAGCCTGACACCATCATGTTATGGTTATACAGAGGCCATGCTAATATTGTCTATATCACTTTTAATACTTGCTTTTCCTTTGTCAAAGCAAGCCCCATGACATCAGTCAGAAGTCAAACCTGGAGCCTGCCATATGGCAAGCAAGATGTCACCTACTGAATGACTCATCTCAACACTTCACTACTTCAAGAGTCTTTGATTTCATGGGTGTGGGGGCTTTCCCCCTCAACAGAGATTGCATCCCTTCAAGGTCTTAGTAGACGTTCTTTGAGAGTTTTTGTGGCTGAAAAAATTCATTACCTGGCAGCTGACCTAGTGATTAACAATACTCTCTAGCTTGAGTTACGTTGGTCCTCAGAGGACAGGGATATAGACATAAAGCCTTTCCCACTTAGTATGACCTTCTAGGGTTTGTTCTCCACTGGTGTAGTCTTTGAAAGCCCAGGGTTATCTCGTGGCCATGAGGCTGCACTAGAGAAGGTCTGATCTCAGTATCAGATAGCTTCAGAGCTGGTCCAAATGAATGCCTCTCCAGAAGTGGCTGCAGTATTCAAATTGACACTACATATTCCCATTGGTCTGGAGCCAATTATCATATTTTTCATAATTATAAAAGGGACCACTTCATGGGATTCACTATTTGCACTAATCAGGACCTAACTATATCACTACCACTTAGACAAGATGAGATTCAATTTGTTTTAACTATACAGGCCCTGTTGCTCTCATATTTTAATGCTCTGAAACCAAAATTTGATGATAAAGATGAAATCTTGGTTATAGTAATCAAGGTTCAAGAGAAATAAAGCTATTGTTCTGTAAAGGAAGGAGCCCTGGATCTGAACTCAGAAGATGAAGTTTACAGGCCCAGTTCTTCCCCCCGCCCAGGTATTAGAATATAAGCTCCTTGTGGGCAGGGCTTACTTCATCCTTTGTAATTCATCCCTAGCACAGAGCCTGGCATACAGCAGGTGCTTAATAATCCTTGTTAAATGATAGATTGATTGATATTTGCATGACCTGGCCCTTGGGGTACATCATATAACTTCTGAACCTCAGTTTCCCCATCTGTAAAAGGGGGTTAATAATACTCACACTGACTATGCCTCACGGAATTATTGTAAGGATCGACTAAGATAAGCATTTTGTTAACTGTAAGGCTAACTATACAGGTCAGCTCTCACTAGATTATAAGCTTGTTTAGAGCAGGGACTGTCTCTTTCCTTTCTTTGTACCCCCAGGTTAGCAAAGTACCTGGCACATAACAGTTGCTTAATAACTGCTTATTAACCAACTGACTGACTATTATCATTCTTATTATTCTGTGCCCCATGGATGGTCCATTATAACATCGATTTGCTGATCAGGTTACTACAAACTCTCTAATGCAGGTTACACTACACAACAAATACATTTTCATGGTCTCTGATCATGTAGATGTAACACATTATAAGTTCTTTATCATGAATCGTTTGAATTGTGCCTGGAAAAAGGAAGAAGAGAACCAAGTTGTAATTGAATTCTTTACATTTCTTATCCCCTGCCCAAAATTCACATGTACTTTGCCCTTTAAGAACATCACACCCAAATTTGCAAACCACCCATCAAAATAAAACAATATTTTTTAAAAGTTTCAGATTTTTTGAAAGAAGAAAGGGACAGCAATTATATGTACATATGAATATACCTATTTGTCCTACTGGACTAAAAGCAATTCTTTTACTTAAGGTGTCAATAGCAGGCTTTCATATCAAGACCGTGACTTTTAGTGGTATACTCATTAAAACAAAGTTCTATTACAGCAAAAGTCCTTGAAGGTCCCATGTAATTCATGACCATGGGAGGATACTGGTGTCACATGCATAGAAGTATTTTCAATTACACTTTCACCAAAGTAAAAATCCCTGTTCCTGTGAGACACCTAATTAACAAGAGTCTTAATTACTGAACGAACTGGTTTTTCCTCCATGTTCCTGAATATTACGTACTTGGTTTTTGTGTGTCAAATTTTCTGACACTCTTGCTAAGGTAGCTCAATCAGTCCGCTAGTCTTCTATCCACTAATTTATCAAAAGGCAAAATATCCAATTTGTTATTGTGGCTCAATCCCAGCACCTCTCAAAGACTGGAAATCACCCACATCTTCCATTTCAGGTCATGTCCTCATCTGTAACTTGGCCTTAAGATTGCTGTTTGAGGCTCTGAGAGTTTATATGATTTGCCCAAAGACATGTGGCTAGTATGTGCATTGGGCAAAGTTTGAATCCAGGTATTTTTGGCACCAAGGCTATCTCTCTATTCACTAAAGTAAACCACACCACCTCTCACCTCCTAATTTACAGATAAGGATAGTGAGGGCCAGGGAGGTCAGGCATTACTCTCAACACATTCTTAAGTGTGTGCTTGTAGTTTCATGCAAATCCTTTCATCATATTTGTGGGTCAACTGCTGGTACATCATCTTAGCCAAGCTGTTACGATGGCAAGTAAAAGCCAGAACAATCACAGCAGCATACCATCTGACTGGTGGTAAGCACAGATGAGATCACCTTTACCTCTCACCCAATAATTTCTTCTTTATTAGACAGCTGCAGTAATTTTACCTGGCAGTCATCTTGTGCTGACTCACCACTATGAACCATTCAGTACTCATTTGCTTTCCAAAGCCCTTTACCCCATTCTCAGCAGTAATGTTATTTGCAAATTCTTAGATGGGCCAAAGTGAAAAGTACCAGGCATCTCCTTTCCCCCTTTCTTACTTAAGTTTTCTGTACTCTATGCATATCTTCTCTGCTGGGTTACAGGTTATCTTCCCAAGCTAGTTTTTATACAGACCATTATTGTTATTATTGCTTCCTCTGCTTTTATAAGCCAGTCCTCTAACAGAAGTGGGGAAAGACAAAGAAATGGATTATATACCTGAGTGTTCCCCTCACCTCCTCCCAGGGGGATGGGGAACCATGGAGAAAGGGAGCCCTAAAAGGATTCTTATTTGTAATTTTTATACCCTAGATCTGCATTTAGGACCAAATGCCAATATTTTCTATTATGTCACAGCAGTGAATAGTCATCTTAATATTTCCACTTTTTGGAGAGGGGAAGTAATCTGCCCTAAGTTACACATAAGGCTTGGAGATGGGGATTTAGCCCCATCTGCACTTTGAAATGAAATTACTTTTGTAGACAAAGATAGGCTGGCACAGAATCTGCCAAATACTTAGTATCTTTTTCCATTTTTACTTCAGAAAAGCTATGGGACTTTGAGATGGGACTAACCTCTTTGTCATCATGACGCCTTCGAATAAAATCTTCAGTAGTTTCCAAGTATTCAGCTGGGGTGAAGTGCCGAGGTGATTCTGAATCTTCAAAACAACATAGCAGACAGAGTTAAAACACACAGAGTTTTTTTCCCAAAAACCCAGGAGGGGGCACACATTCCTGGCAATCCACACACTCTCCCACAATAGACGTTTTAAGGCATTTTCATGAATATCAAACTGATTGAATATTGGGAAGGTAAAACACCAAAATATTGGAAAGATCAAATATCAAACTTATTGAATATTAGGCCTCCTCTCCTTCCCTCTACTTTTCCCTCCCACCTTTTTTGGGATCCACTTGTGGGGTCATTTGAGAATAGAGGAAACCAGTGAATTGAGAAAGGAGATAAAAACAGAGCATCTCCTTTCATGAGCATCCCCACTAATAAGACCGATATGGTCTTATTGGGACAAAGTACACATTCACACACATGGGCCAACGTGAGAGGCTGCTCCTCATTCAAGTGGGTTTGGACAGAGGCAAAGAATAGGAACCTCCAGAATTCCCTTGTTAATGGTCCTCATGCAATCTAAGTGGCCAATTTTTCTTTCAATGTAGGGCTTGGTGATAATTCTATGGATAACAGATGCATTTTCTTTTTTTGTTTTTATTTTTGTTTTTGTTTTTGTTTTTGTTTCATTTTTGCTCAAAAGGGGCAGCCACTATTAGCCATGATTAAATGCCAAGCAACACACAGAGGTGATAATTGACAGACCAGGAGACAAGCATCAAGGGACAAGGAAGGAGGGGCACAAGGCAAGCAAAATGGGAAAGACGGAGGAGGTCACACTGGTAAAGGAGACAAAAAGCCACCTCGGGGGGGTGTTCCAAGGTCATTTTGCGGGTTGTTGTTCCTATCCAAGCTGGGACCTAAACACGGGCCCAAGCCACTGGGTTTAAGGGTGCCCAGATAGTCTTCTGGAATCACAGCTCTTTTTGGAGAGGGTTCTGGGACCTGGCTAAGCCTTTCCAGGACACAGAGTGATGACTGGCGCTTGGGAACAGAGGGCTTCCCTTCCCCTTTGGGGCTGAATTCATTCCCAAGGGGATGAGTTTGGGATTCTGCTTTCTGCCGCATCGTTGGGCCAGAAGAGTCACTGTGTGGAAGCTTTCGGGCATGGTACTGGAGGGGCTTTTTCAACCTGAAAGGCAGGGGGCCCATGAGGTAGATGTTTCTAAGGACAATGTTCTTGTCCCCTCCCATGTCCACTCTCCAGCCAGGGCTCCTGGAGGCCTGCTGCTGCTCATGCTTCCGTATGGTGGTGAAGCGGGTGTAAGATGCTGGACAGCTACCCTTGCACTTGTTATGCCGATGTTTCTGAGAATCACTGTGCACACTGCTGGTGCTGCCCTCCCGACTGTCATTGGAGATGGTGGAAAGATGGTCAAGCTCCTCTGAGCAGGCTGAGGGAGGGTGAGCAGGTAGAAGGGCCCTAAGATTCAAAGCTGGCTCTTCCATATTGCTGCAGGAGGGAGAAGCATAGGCCACCGTGGGGTGCTCTGTGATATCCTTCTCCCTATGGTGCAGCTTGGGAGATTCTAGGAGGGATTCAGCAGAGCGGGCCGCACTCAGACCACTGTGGGACAGCAGTGGCACAGGAGACTTGCTCAGTCGGCCTGATAAGTCCAGGGACGGCATGGAGCGGGACCGCTGGATCAGCTGCTCAAATGCTGTGACCCGTGAGGAGACCGTGTGTTTCGGAATGTGCTCAGAGCTCTGCTGGCTGAGGTGGAACTCTCCCCTGGCTTCTCCCAGGTTACTGGATTCAAAATGGGACGCCAGGTCCCGGACACTGGAGGAGGAGACGGAGCCCAGGTGGAGCCCAGTTCGGTTAATGTGGTGCATATTTTTGTAAAGCATCGTGAATTCACTACCTCCCTTCCTGGAGAGGGGGCAATACTTCCTGGCACTGGCCCCGTAATCCTGGAGGCTCTGGGTACTCCCAGACTTGGTGCCATACTCTCGCTTCACCCGCATAAGAAGGTTTTCAATGCTTCCTCCTCCTTGCAATGGGAGTGTTCTTTTGGAATCCTCTGAAGCAGGGGAGCTACAAAGGTTTTCATAGCTTTGAGCCTTCTCTGGGGGCAACAGGACACTCTTCTTTTCCTGCAAGAGAGCACTTGGAGCTGACAGCCTGGGTTTGAATTTGGAAGGGAGGATCTCAGAAATGCAGGCTTTCGCTGCAGACAGGGGCTTCTTATGTTTACACATAGGCCCTGACACATCACTAGCATGAAAGGTTCGGCTATGAACTGAAGAAGAGGAAATCATATGAGCATTCCCACCTTTACGATCCACTGGTAAGCATGCAGAATAAAATAAACACAACCCATTAGGTTAAAAGCTGGAAGCAGGGAAGAAAGGAGAGGTCACATGCTCATTTTTTATCAGTGCATCTCTTTCACTTGGTGTCAGAAAGCAACATAAAAATCACTGAGCTGCAAAGCAGGTGCAAATGGGGTAACTAAAAGAAAAATCATTCCCCCCCACCCCACTCCCACTAAGTGTTTCTGGGAAAAAGGACACTCAGCTGGTTTCAGAGAGAGAGAGATTTGATTTTTTTTTTTAAAGAGAGAATGGCAAAGCTAGGGGACTGAGAAAGAAAAACTGCTACCATCAGAAAGATAACAGGAGATATGACATAAGAGGTCTCAAAAGGCTTGGATGTACATCTGGACCAGTCAGAACTTCTCCTGACTGCTTGAGGATCAACCACAACTGTCATTTCCATTCTTTGTGTGCAGGAGAAATAAAAACTGACCATCCTCACCCCATTACCTTTAGTGGAAGCAGTGCTAGCAGGTCGCTTGAGACCACTTAATCCCTGGAGAGGAATGTCTCCGCCTTCCAGTACACTTTTGTAAATCTGTCTTTCATTCTCCAAACCAGTGGAATCCCCTGGAGCCATCTCTGACTCTCTCTTCACTGCATGGATATTGGGTGAATATGAGCTATAAAGATTATAATTTTTAAAAAGTCAGATTTAGAATATTGTAGGTTTTAAAAAGTCAGATTTAGTATCAGCTTTAAAAGAAATTAAGAGAGGAAACGAAAGCATGTTACCAGTTAAAGAATAAACACATACCTATCTGTTCTATAAAATTTCATGCAAGAATATGAAATGTTTGTCAGATAAAATAATCATTTTCATTTAGAAGTACCAACAGATTCCTTTTATAGGGAAGGTGGCCCCGTGAGTAGCTACAGTTTATTTAAGTTCCTACTATGTGTTAAAGCATTTAAGTTCCTACCATGTGCAATTCACAGTGCTAGGTACTGGGGATGAGGCAAGGAAAGAAACTTGCCAAAATGCATGCTCTCAAAGAACTTATTTTCAAGTGTCCACTACCAAATACTTAGAAATTTTAAGCCATCCCAGCCAGGGATAGACTGATTGGTGATTTTTATGAAATTTTTCATTCCTTTCAGAACCTTTTCCTTCAGGAGAAACCTTAAAAAATCAATCCCTGAGACCCTCTAAAATGATGTGGCCTCAGGGCAGCTAGGGGGTGCAGTGGATAAAGCACCAGCTTTGGAGTAAGGAGGATCTGAGTTCAAATCTGGCCTCAGACACTTGATACTTACTAGCTGTGTGACCCTGGGCAAGTCACTTAACCCCAACTGCCTCACCACCAAAAAAAAATTTATGTTGCCTCCAGCATTGCTTTCTTCTATATACATTTGGCCAGGTCCAGCTGCCTTTCCCAAATATAGCTTCTTACATGCAAATTTATTTCCTTGCATAGCACAGCAGATACTAAGGTAGTGGGATTCAAATACGTTATCTCTACATTTTTGACTGATGAGAAGAGCTCACTCTAGAAAAGTTGGCAGATCTGTTCCATTTCATGTCTATTTGTGTCTTTCTGTGTCTAGCCAGATTTCATGGCAAGTTCTCTAAGAGCTCATTTTCTCCCTTGTTACTTTTCTTTTGCTGTTTCATGAAGCACTATTGCTAATAAACACCCACCATCTTTCTTGGTAAGGAATTTAGACTACACTTATGTGGCACTTTGGCTGTGTTATCTTTCCACTTGAGAAGGGGACCAGATACAAACCAATCCTCAACATTTGCAAAAATGCAAATGTTGATACATTGAACCTGTAGGAAGTAGGGGGTTAGGTTCCCACAACCACCATAAACTGTAATCTTTTGCTAGAGATTGTTGAAAATATACTTTTCTACATGCAATTCTTTATAACAAAGCATTAATTCTTTAATAAGCACTTTACCAACACAGTAACCATGAAACAACCCATAAAATGAAGTACACAAAATAAAATTGGTAACAAGCAAAACATTTTTAGTAATTCCCTAGAATTCTGTAACCATCTATGCTAACATCTTAAAAAAATCCAATGAATTCAGATAATATTAACTTTTAATAACACATGAAATCTATAGTACCATAAATACTTTTTTTTTTTGCAGATATAACAAGTAGTCAGTTCATTAACACTAAACTTGTGGACAACAGTGGCTGACAGCAGCTGCAGCCATTGCAGCATGAAGTTTATTTAACACTTTTATTTTTTCACTAAGCCACATCCCTGATTTTGCACACTTGGGCTTAGAGTCCAAAGGACTTGCATTACACGTTGGGAGCACAATCACAAGACAAAATGTGAGTTTTAAAAGCAAACAACGAAAATATGCAATAAATGCATGAGGAAATCTTTGTAACAGTAGCGTGAATAAGACCAATGAAAAGCCTAGTGGGATACCAGTGGCTCTGTGCATCACACTTCTCATTTTTTTCTCTATTGCGCATAGCTGTGAATATGCAGGGCTGCCAATACAAAAGTGAAAATGAAGTTACTAACAAAGTCATGGGAATGCTCGAAGTGACAAAAGTTAAACCTGTGAATGTTGAGGATTGACTCTATTTATTGGCAGAGGCTCTTTTGTGGTTCTTTCTGTCTCCTAGTAGAGGTGGCCATTTATATCAGGAATTAGTCTAAGAAATGATGGCTATCTTTTTTTGTTTTTTGAAATGATGGTCATCTTGAGACAATGTCTTTCCTTTTGTACACCTATTTAAAAAAAATTGTAGCTTATCTAAATGAGTTGGATTGGAGCTACCATAATAGCATGTGGTATCTTTTTTTTGTCTTTTATCTTTTCTTCCTGTATTGCACTTAAGAGTTTAGCTCTAACAGACTGATTAACTAATTATACTTGATTCTGAAAAGGCTGTTACTTCAATAACTTTAAATTTAATATAGCCAAAACCTATCTTATCTTTCATATTTTCCTCTCTCTCTCTCTCTCTCTCTCTCTCTCTCTCTCTCTCTCTCTCTCTCTCTCTCTCTCTCTCTCTCTCTCTCTCTCTCTCTCTCTCTTTTGAGGCAATTTCAGTTAAGTGACTTGCCCAGGGTCACATAGCTAATAAGTGTCTGAGGCCAGATTTCAACTCAGGTTCTCCTGATTCCAGGGCCAGTACTCTATCTACTGAACCACCTAGCTACCCCTCTATCATCTTTCATCTTAAACCTGTTCTTCCTCCAGATTTTACTACTTCCATTAGAGGTCCAACTATTGACTATTCACCTAGTATTCTATTGGTGAAATCTTGATATTAATCTTTTACTCTTCCTTCTCTTTCATCTCATTTCTGATTAAACATCTGGTCCTGTTGATTTATCTCTACAATATCTCTTGCATCCATCCTTTCCTTCTATTGCCACTACAATTGTCCCATATGAGCCCTTGTTATCATTCTATGTGTTGAATCCCTCCAAGCTCCCCCACTCTTTGTTGGGTTCCTCCCTATCCAACTCAAATGTCACCTCTTCCAGAGAACTTTCCTTTATTTGTCTCTTATCAATAATGACCTTTCCCTCTAGGACCTCACATACAATTCTATGAATCTCTTAAAAGGAATGCATTATGCAGATTCATTAAACCAATTTGCATACATATCATATACCCCTTCTAGAACTGGGGCTCTTAAACATTTTTTTGTTTCATGAAACACTTTGACGGTTTGATAAAGTCCACGGACCCCTTCTCAGAATAAAGTTTGTAAATGCTTAAAGTAAAAATACATACAAACATAAAGAAAACCAATTATATTTTGATAGTTATCAAAACATTTTAAAAAACAATTCATGGATTCTAGATTAAGAACCCCTGCTGTTGTGTAGTTCAGTTGTATCTAACTCTTCATGGCCCCATTTTGGGTTTTTTTAGCAGAGATATTGGAATGGTTTGCCATTTCCTTCTCTGGCTCATTCTACAGATGAGGAAACTGAGGCAAATGGGGTTAAGTGACTTGCCCAGGGGCACATAGCTAGTGTTTGAAAACAGATTTGAACTCAGGTCCTTATGATTCTAGGCCTGGTACTCTATCCACTGTTCTACTTTGCTATCCCAAAAGAATCCCTGTACTAGACTATAAGTTCTATGAAGGCAAATCTTATGTCTTATTTAGATATATCTCCTCCTCAGTTCCTGGACTATGTATTGCACATGTCAGTCTTTAGTATTAGAGTATTAGTTTTACTAGAAACCAAATGTGAAGAAAAATTGCAAAATCTACCTTAGCTTCTTAAAATAAAAGTTGGTGGCTAGGAAGCAGTGATCCTGACTGAATACTGAAACTTGGAACTCTAGTTCAATAAAGAATTTAAGTTATGTGAGGCAAGCTTGCACATTCAAAACAGCAATATGGGAGGAGTTCATCAGAAGGGTTTAAAACAAAAGCAAGGTTGGAGGGGGGAAATGATTATCACTAATTAGGAGTAGCAGGGAAAGTTACACAAGAGAGGTGGCATTTGAAGGTAAGTTCCATTTATTTATAGGTTATAATTCCAGGAATAGTTATTATAAAATGAATTCAGTGCCTAATTGTTTGTCAGGAAGATTACACTGAAGGAAAACTTATTTTTTTAAAACTAGATCTGTGACTTCATCAGCAGGGGACACTCGGTGTAAAAATTCCTCTTGTCAATACGAATCAACAATTCTGAGGTCACTTACAGCCTTAGAAAAAAACCGCTTGGTGGCTCACAGAGTCTGTTAAGAGACCGTGGTCACAAGGGAAGGGGGAAGGGAAAGAGTATTTATTAAGCACCTACTATATGCCAGCACTGTGTAAAAGCACTTTATGATCTTATCTCATTTGTGATCACAGAGGTCTGGATGTGTCCGTGCAAAGATTCAGGTCTTCTTGGTTCTAAGGCTAGGCTGCCATGCTAGCCCCACACAGAAATGTTCCTCTCCAAGGAAGAGCCAGCCTCTTCTCTATGACCAGTGGAAAAGAGGAAAGAGTAGGTGGGGAATGCAGGAAGGAAGTGTAATAATGAATATTTTGCTATTAAGTTAGTTTGCCTGTTCTGTTATTAAATAACAAGCACTTATGCTTGTCTGTTGTTGTCATTTTTCAGTTGTGTCTGACTTTTTGTGACCCCATTTGGGGTTTTCTGGGCAGAGACACTGGAATGGTTTGCCATTTCCTTCTCCAGCTTCTTTTATAGATAAGGAAAGTGAAGCAAGTAGGGTGATGTGACTTGCCCAGGGTCACAGAGCTGGCAAGTGTCTGAGGCCAGATTTGAACTGACGGAGTTGAGTCTTCCTGACCCCAGGCCTTGTACCCTGTCCACTGGGCCACCCAGCTACCCTTATGTTTATCTAGCATTTTACAAATTTCAAGTATATCAGCTGATTTCATCCTAGTCCACCACTGTGGAGGTAGATTTTAAGAGATGAAGGGACTGCTCTAAGAGATTTATTCCTGATCCATGCCCTGAGGGGTATAAGTTACTTTCCTCATTTTACAGATGACATGACTGAAGCCCTGGAGAGGTCTGATAGTTAGCATCAGAGGCAGCTCTAGAATTCAGGTGTCTCAGTTCTAGGTCTACTATCTGAGTTGCTTTCCCTTTTGCAATTCTGTTAGAGAGGGGCTGTTAAAAACCATTTGCTCTCATGGGCACCTGGGCTTTACAGTTCCTTAATCAAAAGGGGGGGGGCAGCTAGACGACGCAGTGCACAGAATGCTGGGACTGGAGTCAGGAAAACTCATTTCCCTGAGTTCAAATCTGGCCTTGGACATTTACTAGCTATGTGACCCCAGGTACTTAAGCTTGTTTGCCTCGGTTTTCTCATCTGTAAAATGAGCTGGAAAAAAAAATGGGAAACCATTCCAGTATCTTTTCCAAGAAAACCCCAAGTGGGGTCAGAAAGAGTGAGACAGGACTGAAAAATGACTGAACATATCAAAAAAGGGTCCTGAGTGCCATCTAGTGACCAAGATGAGTAAATCTACTGTTGAGCGAGACTTCTGCCTCCTAAGAACTAAAGATGGTGGCATTTATATTAAAATACAGTCATCAAAACATTTTTTTATAAAGTTTACAGACCCTCATGTTATGAACCCCTGAGGAAGAGGATTAGCTTTAGCAAGGAGTAGAAAAGGCTGTTCCTCTGTGGTCGGTGGAAAGGAGGAATGAGTGGGTGTGAGGAATATAAGACATGGAAGGAACTCCTGTCACATGGCCTCAGTCTTCTCAGTGAAGTGGGAGGCTAAGCAATCTGTGGCCAAGTGTGGGAGCTCTGGATTCATAGCATCACAGAATCACAGCTGCAGCGTTGGAGGGCAACACAGAAGCCATCTGGTCCAACTCCCTTATTTTACAGGTTGAGAAACTGAGGACCAATAAGTTGACTTGTCTCAGGCCATGCAGACCATAAGTGTCAGAGCCAGAATTTGAACCCAGGTCATCTGAATCCAAACCCAGCACTGTTTGGTTTGAAATAGTCACTGCGAAGAATGAGATGGGGTAGAACAGAGGATCGTCTAACGTGCTCTCTTCCTCACCTCTGCCTCTGAGCTTCCCTGGCTTCCTTCAAGATGCAGTTCAAACGCCAACCTTGTGCAGGAAGTGTTTCCTGGTCTTCCCAGGCCTTCCTGCTATTCTGTATTTATCTTGCAGGCACTTAGTTAGAATGCAAGCTCCTTCAGGGCAAGTCTGGTTTTGCTTTTTCTTTTTTATCTTTGGTACTTAGCACACAGTACCTGGCACATAGTAAGGCATAAATGTTTATTGACTGATTGAAGAATGGTACCTTAGGAGTTATGTATCATAATTTAGAGGGGAAAATCACCCTGCCGCTAGTCTGAACAATTTAGAACACATTGACCATGAGGAACGACAGACCGGTTTTGAACAAACAGTCAATTTCTATTTGGGAAGATGAATGAGGTGAGATGGATTGGAGGAGTGGGAGACTAGAGACAAAGAAATCATTTTAGGAGATTATTAAAGAACCAGCAAGCAGACATTCTAAATCTTGTGTCCCATCTATGGAGGTCTGATTCTTCACTTCTTGGTTCCCAGTTTACATCGGGAAATTCCTATTCAACTGAATTAATCCCGCTCTCTCTCTGGGCTTCCCTCCACAACAGCTCTCTGACAACCTCACCAGTTCCATACTCCTCTGGGACCTGGCAGCCCTCACTTAGGGGGATTTTGTCTAGATGATTCTAAATTCAAAGGGACAAGCAACAAATGCATGGAACCTTAGTATGTTAGAGTTAGGAAGAACTTTAGGGACAGTGTTATTCTAAGCCCTCATTTTCAGATGAGGAAACAAGAGGCTCAGAGGTATTGAGAGGGACGTCCTCAAGTTCATATAGCATATGGCAGAGCTCAAAGATGCTTCTGAGAAACACAGAGCTAGGAGATCTCTTAGAAATTATCTATTCCAACCCTCTCATTTTATCATTTTACAAGAACTAGATACAGGGAGTAACTTGTCTTGGAGTGAGATATGACCCTGGGCTCTTTTCATTAACCTATGCTATCAACTAGCATTTAAAAGATTAAGAAATTGAGGTAGATAAAAGTATATTAAAGCAATATCTTCTTTTAAAAATCATCACAATGTTAGAAAACATTTACATATGTATACACACATATGTACATGTGTATGAGTATATACATATTACATATATACATACACATATATATTATATATATATCTATATAACATATATACATTTATATAAATATATATATATGTGTGTGTGTATATTTTATATATATATAATTATTATTACTATTAGAGAGGCTAAAGGCAAGCCTGCCATTGGGTAATACCATACCATGGATCTTCAATTTCAGCAGCATCAGAGTTCCCTTCACCAGTTCAGATAGCAACCCATCCATAACTTAGTAGATCAACCAGTAAGTACAGATAAATCTTAACAATGTGTTTAAGACTCAGAAAGTCTAAATGACTTGCCCATGGTCACACAGCTAGTAAGTGTTAGAGGCAGGACCCAGAGTTTCCTGACTCCAAGTATCACACTCTGTCCAGGGTAGAATACTGGCTCTCTACCACCATAGAACAATAAACTATAATAGATGGTAAAGGGACTGGTTTAGCCAGTTATGAGCAAGCATCCCAGACAACGAACAGACAAATGTCCCTGGGTGGACTCCCACCTTTCCCCACTTTTTACATTCTAGAAACAAAAACATGCAGTGGATCTTCAACTTACTAGGCAGAACGCTCAGCAGCCGTTTCTGGAGTGGGGCTGACTCTTGTAGTCTGTAAATGTACAAAAAGAGAGGTCAACATTTAAACAAAGGAAAAACAACAGCCAAGTCATTTTTTCTGTTAAACAATCTCTAATAATGACCTCTAGGAGCCAAGACAAATGGGGAGTGTGAAAGGGATCATGTTTGCAAAGAGGGTAACATTTTCCTTCCTTCCTGTTAGGAAAGGGCAGATTTTTAGCCAAGTTGCTCTTTTCACCTATTCTTGAGTAACTGGATCAAGCCCAAAGCTAGAACGTGCTAGTTGAGTCAGAATACACAACCTGGAGCTATCTACCCTGCCACTCCCCTCTGCCTCCACAGCAAAGACAGACTGATGTGTTCTGGGACACTTAACAAGGTCAATTAGAGAACGCTACAAGGCAATACCCAGCACCACCTTGATCAGGACACTTGCACAAACAGCTGAAGAGTCATTCAGGAGAACCCCAATTCCTTGGCCAGATCTAGAATGGTCTAATACTGCTTTTGAAGTTCAGCAGAGGTGAAACTGAATGAAATTACACTATTTGGTACTTAGGCAGTCATTTGCTACTACTCCTAGGTTTGCTAATGTGGAAATAGGAAGAAATGTGGTTTTATAATTATAAATTTTTTATAATTACAAACACTCTTTCAATAGAGGTAGGGAACCCTTTGGGGGCAGGGAATGTAGGATTACAACCCCACAAGCAAAAAATAAAAAATAAAGAAGAGGAATCACCAAGAGCCATGTCTAAATAAAAATCAATTTCATTACTTATTTGGGATTTTGGGGCAGGGTATTCAATTTGAGAGAAATATACAAGGCGTCTCAAAAATCTTAGACCTTTGAGACATCCTGTATAAAGTCATAATTCATCTACCTTAAAGAAAAAAACTAGAAATATGAAATTGTAATAAGCATAACAAATACTTCTTTAAACCCTTCAGTTCCATATTATGGACAATGAAGGAATAAAGATATCTAAGATAAAGAGAGGGAGAGGAAGAGACATTTAGGATAAGGTGAAGAAGAGAGAAAGAAGGTCTAGTAAGGGAGAGGCAGAGAGTAGGTGAGATGTTTGTGGGATATAGAGGGAGAGATTTGGGGGAGGAAGAAAAAGGGAGATAGTGAAAGAGAAAAGATACAAGGGAAGGTGGGGGGAGTAAACACTCTCACCAAAGTTTCTGTGCAAATGATCAGATTATTCTCCTTCCCTTACTATGCACCATAAGTGGCTATTCTCTTCTCCCTATATGGTCTCTTACATGGATACAGTCACTACGTCTCTGTGGCTGACTCCCAGGTTTTATCTTCAGTCTTGTACTCTGTCTTCAGATGAGTCCCTCAACTGCCTACTAGACACATCCGTGTGGATATCCAGCTGATGTCAACTTAACTTTAACAGGCCTAAACTGTCTTTATCATTCTCTACCCCCACCCCACCAAGAGATTTCTCTCCCTGGGTTTCCTATTTTTGTCAGTAGTATTATCATTCTCTGAGGCCTCCCCATATCTAATTAGTCACCAAACCCAGTTGATTCTTCCTGTGAAACATCTATTACATTCATCCTTTCTTTTTCACTGCATTATAGCTATTGAGGTAGCTCCTAATGGATCCCATGGCCTATAGTCCATTTCCTCTCCAAACCATTCTATACATCTTTGCCAGAATCGTCTTTCTAAAAGATGGCTTTGACAATAACATTCCCTTACTCAGAAATCACCAATGGCTCTCTATCACCTACAGGATAAAGCACTATGTTTTGTCTGATTTTGCCAAGTCTCTTGGCAATCTAGACCTAATTTTCCACCCTTATCTCCCACTACTCATTTATACAATCTCTAATAATGACCTTTAGGAGCCATGGCAAATGAGGAGTATGAAAGGGACTCTGTTTGCAAAGAGGGTAACATTTTCCTTCCTCCATGTCAAGGAAATGCAGACTTTTAACCAAATTGCAGTTTTCCCCTATTCTTGAATAACCAGATCAAGCCCAAAGCAAGAACATGCTACTAGTTGGGTCAGGAGACATCTCTGGTTGAGACCTAACCAGACTGACCTACTCTCCACACCCCAGAGCCATGACTTGCACATCTCCACCACCGTACCTTTCTGGGCTTATGCCATTATCCAGCCTGGAATGTTTCTCCCACCTGCTAAAACCCTATCCCATCATTCAAGACACACCTTGAGTGCTACTTCCTTCATGAAGCCCATGCTGACTACTCCAGGCCATAGTGGTCCTCTTTTCCCCTGGAACTCTGAGCACTGATTGCCTTATTAAACATGGACCATAGGCTGCTCTGTATGATGAGTTACCTTTCCATGTGTCTCTGTCTTGCCTCTTCTAATGGACTGCAGGGTCCTTGCTTTAGACTTATCTCATCACTTATAGAACCCCAAGATTTAGAGCAAGGCAGGACTTTAGAGATTGTTTAATCTAACTCCCTCATTTTAGACATGAGAAAGACAAGGCCCCGAGATGCTAAAGCTACTTATTCCAAATCCCAGAGCCAGTAGAAAGCAGAGTTGGACATCAAATCCAGGTCATGTAACTAGAGGCATCTGGGGCAGTGGAAAGAATCTATGATGTGGGTACAGAGGGCCTGGGCTCCGGTTACAGTTCCTCTTCCCATGTGACTTTGGGTGAGCCACTTCCTATCTCTGGGCCTCAGTTCTTCATCCATAAAATGGGGGGACTGGAGTACATGACCTCCAAGGATCCTTCCAGGTCTAAATCTAGGCTCCAATGAAGCTATTATTCCAAATCCAAGGCTCCTTATATTTTTTTGTATTTCCCAACACATCTAACATGAAGCCTTAGAGTTAGTTAACAAGTATTTATGAAGCATTAATTATGTGCCAGGAGCACCTAGGTGGCACAGTGGATAAAGTGCTGGTCCTGGCGTCAGAAAGACTCATCTTCCTGAGTTCAATTATGGCTTCAGACACTTACTAGCTGTGTGACCCGGGGCAAGTCACTTAACTCTGCCCCAGTTTCCTCATCTGTCAAATGAGCTGGAGAAGGAAATGGCAAACCACTCCAGCATCTTTGCCAAGAAAACCCCAAATGGGGTCATGAAGAGTCAGAGTCAGACAGATGGAAAACTGAATAACAACTGTATGCCAGGCACTGGGCTAAGAGATGAGGACAGAAAGGTAAAATCAGTCTCTGCCCTCAAGGAACTTATAGGAGGCACTAAATAAGTGCTTCCTGATTGGCTAATAGCAACCATCACACTGATTCCCTTTAAGATCTCTAAAAAACCTCTTACTGTATTTTAGGAACTATGAAAGGAGCTTCTCAAATGCTGAAGGGGAAAGTGGTGGCAGCACACCAATCAGGACCCTCCTTTAGTGCCAGCTCATTAACCTCCTTCCCTAGTCATGAGTGAGATTCAGCTGCAGCCACAATTCTCTCTCAGTCAGTCAGTTTTATCACTTCCTTGCTAAAACCCATGGGCTCTGGGCTGTCCACATTCAGACCCTCGCTCCTTCCAGAGAAGAAGCATAAAAGCTCATAGGACACATCTTCCTCCTTGTGCCTAGATTGTTAGCACCTTGTTCACCTCTCATGATTCCCTGGATACCTGCTTACTTGTCTGCTCTTGACCTCATTACGTGGTAACTCATTAAGCTTTGCTGTATCTTGCCTGGATTCCTGACTCCTTGGCCTTGGTCTGGATTTTGACAATTGATTACTTCCTTGAGGTCTGGCCCAGAACATCAAGATTCATGACCCCTTGAATGGTTGGTTGGCCACTGGTAGTTAAATGTCCCCAAAGCCATGCTTCACCTAGGAACTTGCCAACATCCTGTTTCTCCTGCTTCTGGCACCATTTAATGAGTGTGGCAAAGCCTGACCTCTGCTTTGTATTTGACCTGCCATATTCGTAATCTCAGCTAGTATTCCTCCTTTACAAAGATACCATTTTGCCTGTAATATCTGCTATGGTTTGCCAGTATGTCATGGAGTAGTTTTAAAAAATCACCTCCTATTTTTTTTTTAGCATACCTTTGTTCTCAGCTTCTAATAAAGGCTTTTAAAAAAACTTCCTTTGGGGATTCTATGGGTTGTTGAATTTTCAGTTCTACCTTTCAGTTATCTAAATTTCACAGGCACACTGCACCCCCCCTCCCCGACCCAAGCTTGTCTTATCCCCTAAAGCAAAAAGTATGCTAAACTCCAAAATGATCTGACTCTATTTTGCTCAAATCAAGTCTCACTACCTCAGAACAGCTGATCTTAGACTGGAAAATAATCTATAAACCAATTCACATTAACACATAAAAGACTGATAGTCCCATCAACTCTCTCCTCCTTGCTCCTACTCAAGGTCTTTATATTTTTAAAAGTGGAGTCTTGTTTTCCCTAATTCATCCCCAAAGTGGAAGACTTTCAGATTGTAAAACAAAATGACGGGAAAAACTTTAATCATTATGAAGTAAGATTTTTTTGGAGAGGGGTGGCTACCACAACAGGCAGACTAATTCTCCCTGAAGTCTCCAGCTGTAGTCCAGACCCCTATGCTAGTCCTACTTCTCACAGCTTTCCCCCTCCCTTTGCTACAGAACTTATAGCTAAACTAAAAGCTCCCAGATTTTCACAAAAACTCCCATGACAAATATGGAGTATTGAAAAGTTGGACTTTGCTTATATTTGCAGGTGGGCATCTTTTGTTTTTTCTTTCCCCACCAGTCATTTAAAAAAATATGCTATGTTATGGAAATGCTTGTTTCATTCCCTAAATTAAAAATAAAATAAACAAAAATAAGAAAGACTCTGAACTATACTGAGATGACTACATCACAGGCTGGCTGACCCATGGAGAAGATGGGCCAGTTCTTGTGGAAAGACCTTCTTTTTAAGACATAACATGCTCATCTTGTAATAAACTACTACTCTGCTCACAATTGGCATAGCTCTACACACTAGCAGAATTCAATAAAGTTTCTCGATTTAACATAAAAGTAAGGACTGAGTATGGGAACACACAGAATTACAAGAGGACTAGCTGCCCAATAATGACATTTGGAACATAGGTAGATTACATATCAGACATGAGAATGAGGCTCATGGGAAGGTAGCGGCACTTCTGGAAGCTTTAGGATGGGTGGCTAAGAGGCAGAGAAGGACAAAATGGAAAATTTTGAGCCTATTCTTGTTTCCTTGTCTGATAATTTTTAAAGAAAGTGTCAAACTCAAAATAAATCCATTAAAAATCACCTGAATCTAAAAGAATGCCAGAAAGCCATGCAATCTCCACAGTGAGCAGAACCATTCACTTGAACCACATTAAAAAGCCATTCCACAATGAAAAGAGCAAACAGAGTTGGAAAAAGAGCCGACAGAATGAAAAGGCCAGGAGATGCCTTCCATAATCTTTCACTGGTTGCTTTATTAAGCTTTTCCATTCTTTCCTAAATGAACCTGTAACTCTGTCTGATAGCGATTGTGATCTCTTTCAACATAAGCCAGGTTAAAGAAGAAAAAAAGAATGGAAAAGTAAGCTTTGGCTTAACACAGGGGAAGAAAGAATGGAAGGCTAAGTCTGAAGAACGAAATTATTCTTTGGAGGATGGAGAAAGCAGAGATGTTGGGATGATAACACAGAAGTGCACAAGGAATTGGTTGTAGACTGTATGACAACAGAGGACGCTGCATTTGGAGGGAACGATTTAAATCCCAAATACCCAGTTTTCCAAAATGTATCTGACTTATTGGAAAATACAACCGCTCACGTCCATGAAACCTACCTTTTGTGAAACACTTGTTTTATCTCACTTCAGACAAGTGTCAAAGGGACTAACTACTGCATAGCAAAAGAAGAAGCAACTGCTAAAAATCTCTCTAAAGGTTAGTGCACCTCATGGACACGCTTTTGGACGATGACTTGATTGACCACCAAGCAAATGAGTTAAAACAAAATGACAGAAAAGAAAAACGAAAGCAAACGCCACACCACTACACACTCCCGCTAACCAAGGAATGCCAAACACACACTTTAGCACAATAACATAGGTAGATAGCACAGAATTACCTTTCTATCCTCTCTAGGAAGGATAGAGCAGTCTCCAGGAGTATAATCCCATATCTTTTTTGGAGGCTGATGGGAAGCAGAGGAGGAAATGAAGAAATGAGAATAAAGACAACACAAAGAACGTGGAGACTGGTTTAAAACAGAAAGGGTCACAGGAAGGGAACTGTATCAACATAGAAAGGGGAAGATTAAAAAACAAAACTAAGTGGGGCAGTCTGTTATGGTGTTGATATCAAGGAGGAAAAACTAGGGAGAGGGCTAGGGAGAGTTTGGGATTAGGAGCCCTTATTAGGAAGTCTGCTACATTCTGTATTCCTCCGGAGAAAATACTATTGGTTTTTAAATGTAATTTAAAAAAAAATTCAGAGGAAAAATTTTTACTTCTGGTTTTCCTTTCAAAAAAGAGGGCAATGCCAAAACCCCCATTTTTTAAAATTAGTCGTTTCCTTCCACAGTAACTATATACTTCATTAATGAACCATCAACTCGTAGGGCTAGAGATGTGAGGTAATTGGAACTCTTTGTTCAAAAGCCTTTCTTGGCAGGGAAATTTAATGTATCTTAAAGTGTGTTATGGTAAGTATGCTGCATATATTTCTTGCTGCTAAGGTTTTTTAAAAATCCCTTTACAATTTATGCAAAATAGCTTATTGCAGGATTATTATTAGGAAGATGGAGAGCTTTCTTAATCTACTCATAGATTCATTTCAACAAAACTTTTTTTTCCGTGAAATAGGTCCTGGTCCTATTTTCTCCTTGTTTTTTTAGTACAATGTTAGAGAAGTATTCCCAAGGAAATCTTGCTGGATTTCCCCCCTCTCCTCCCCAATAGGTTGCTTTAAACTTTTGGCAATGAGGGGTTAAGCTGGTAGCCAGCCCTGTGACTTCTTAGGTACCAATGACGCCCAGCACTGCTCTTCTGGCTGAAAACTCATTTCTGGTAGCAGTTCTTCTTTTGTAGTTCTTTCTCACCTCCATGATCTCTGCTGAATGTCTGCCCTCCAACTTTTCCCTTCCCTGACCTGAATCTTCTCTATGAAAGGGGTGAAAAAGGCTTTGGAGTCCCTGTTTTCCTTTTTTTAAAAACAGAAATCAAGGCAATAGACTTCAATTTTTTGATTAATTTTTTCTCCCACAGTAAAAACATATATTAAAGAGCCATACTTCTAGGATTGGCCATTTGTAGGCCAGTATTTCCGGAGGCCGAGGTAAAGAAGTGATCCTAGGCAGGAAGGGGATTAGCACTTGCAGGCAAACCCTAGACCCATCCCTTTCCTGTGGGTTTTTCTACTCATGCTCTACTAAGTCTGCATCTCCTCTGGCTTCATTACAACCAGTGTTTGCCTTAAGATCAGCTCTCCTATTCTTTTTTTTTTGCTATCCCATTCTTTTCTTGACAGAAAAAAAAATCAGTGTAGTTATGTAAATTTGATTATCTTAGGCTAATGGGTCTTATCTTATTTCCTGTTACTTTTCCTCTTCATTTCCTAACAAATGTATGATTGGGGAAAAGATCTAGGCCAATCGTGCAACAAGAACAGGAGATAATAGATGGAGAGCCAAAAGGTTGTACTCTTACCCATGGAATTTGTTTTTCTTTAAAAAAGAAAAAAAAAGTTAGAGGAAGATCTCTAGAGTGTTGCGCAGACCCTTTATGAGAGGACTGATAAGAATCCCAATGCCAATGAATCTGTGGATGGGTTGCAATCAGCATCTCTGGAGGGACATGGATCCAATGAATTACTGGAATATTCCTAGAAAAATCTGACCTTTTAAAACTCCACTATGATGGAGTTGAACTAAGGGAAAAAACTCTTTGTCCAGCTGGGATAGGTTCTTCAGAGTCTAGTCAGGAACTGATGGAAACTAGCTGGCTCACCAGAGAAGACAGTTATCCCTTCCACAATGTGGGGTGGGGGAGTAATTAGGGGCACCTTTGATCTGAAAAATCTGGATAACATTTTTTGGCCCTCCCTTCGCACCAGAGAAGAACTCTGAATTATTATGGTGTTAAAAGATAAAATATGTTGAGATTATGCAATACTATACATATGTTTTATACATTTCTGAGTTTCTAAACTTTTTCTATGTCATCAGCTAGCTTTTGCCTGTCACCTGTGGTTTCCACAAAACTCCCCCAAAATTCCCATTTAATTTCTTATGCCAAACTGATGTATCAAAATTGTGATGGGGAAAGTCATGATGTGGAAGGGATAACTGTATAAGAAACCCCACCAAGAGCATTTGGATGTTTTATTTTTCTGCCTCAACACCTATCAAGTGGCAGCATGGTATAGTGGACTTGAAATCAGGAAGACTGACTTTTAAATCCTGGGCAAATCCCTCAGTGCCTCAGTTTCCTCATCTCCAAAACTGAGTTGGGTGTGATGCCTCCTAAAGTTTCTTCTACCTCTAAATCTATAATCCTAAATATGCATTATTCTCCTTCACTCAACAATATAGGAGGCATATGCTACAGTTGCTCCTTATCATCGGCACTTATTATCTCTGTTTCTCAGATCAATCTGTCCATAACTTATGATACAGCATTGTTAGTACTAGCAGAAAATCTAGGTTCAAGTCTTGCCCCGACCCTGGGCAAGGCACAACCTCCCCGTGGCCCAGCTGATTTTCTCCTATTATAAATGACAGAATTGTTGATCTGCATCCACGGAGGGGATTTCTAAACTAGGATTCTCTCCCAAACCCCACCCCAAACAAAAACATAGGCACAGATCAAAACCAACCAACCGAATAAACAAAACTCTAATGTTAACAATATGGGCATTAATTGCAATAATTCTTATTGAGGGAGATATTTCCTGGTTATAAAAATGTCTTCATTACTACTTTATAGAAAGCTAACGATGGAAGATGCTTAGAGATTACCTAGTTTAATTCCTTTATTTTACTTTTGCTAAAATAAAGGTTCGGTGACACGCCCACAGACGTGGCAGCAATTTAGTGGCAGAGCCAGGATTAGGGTTTGGGTGGGATGAGTTCCACCAAACAAGGCCTCACCCTATCTTCTAAAATAACACCAAGGTAAAATGAGTCCTCTTAAAAATCTCCTTACTAGCGTATGGGTGCACGTGGAGGAGGCCACTTCTGCCATACTGTAGGTACTGTAGAAGGTAAAAATGGAAAAACTGAATGTTTTTTCAGATAGCCTAAAGAAAAATAGTGGCATTTTAGGAGAGCATTTCTTAGTCTTATAAAAAAAAAATTAGGGATGGAAGGGTGGAAAATCTCTAATTTAAAAATAGGTTATATTTTTAAATAATAATAATTATAGCTAGCATTGATAAAATGATCCAGAATCTTTAAAAGGATAAAAATGAGATATTTGTAAAGTACTTTGTAAACCTTAAAGTGTATACACATATACAACCTCCCAAATATTTATAGAAGTACCTTTTGTGATAACAAAGTAGATATTCTTTGATGGGGAATTGCTATACAAATTATACATGAAAATAATAGAATATTACTGTGCCATGAGAAATTATGACTGTGATGAATTACAGAAAAGCATGGAAAAATCTATATGAACTGATGCAGAGTGAAGTGAGCAGAGCCAAGAAAACAATATGCAAAATTACTAAGCAAAACTGGAAAGAAGAACCACACACAAAAAAATCAAAAACAAAAGATACATGTTTTCAGACTTTTTCAATGTATTGATCTATCTACTGTGTTGGTTTTCTTCTTCTTTTTTTTTTTTTGGTCTTAAAAATACTGTTTGTTATATGGGTTACCTCTCTGGGTGAAGAAGGGGGAATAGTACTGGGGAAAATTATGATGATTTAAACCACACAAGATATCAATAAAAACTTATTTTAAAGAGTTCTATATAAATGTTTTTGTTGTTGTTCAGTTATTTTCAGTTGTGTCCAACTCTTTGTGATGATATTTGGGGTCTTCTTCCTTCTCCAGCTCATTTTACAGATGAGGAAACTGAGGCAAATAGGATTAAGTGACTTGCCCAGAGTTACACAGCTAGTAAGTGTCTGAGGCTGGATTTGAACTCAGGAAGATGAATTTTCCTGACTCCAGGTATGGTGCTGTGTCCCCTGCACCCCCAAGCTGCCCTATATAAATGTTAGCTATTATTATTATTAACATTATTGTTATTATTAAGCTTTTTTATTTAAAGTCTACGAAGTGTTTTACATATATTATCTCCTTAATTCCTACAATAAATCTGTGAGGTCAGTGCTATTATTATCCCCATTTTACAAGTGAGGAAACTGAGGCTGAGAGCCCAGGCTCACACAAGTTTCTGAGGCAGGATTTGAAGTTGGATACTCATGAATACAAGTCCAGAACTCTACTCACTGCACCTCCCGGCCTCAAGTGAGTTCTGTCCTAAAAATTTATTTTTTATGTCTTTTAGAATTCAGACCCTAATTTCCCAAAAAAAAATGGTAAAACTGGTGTTTCATTTTTCAGGGTAGCCTGCAAAGTCCTATTTAACTTACAATATGATTGAAATGCTGCTATATATTTGCTCTTAAAATAGTAGAAAAAAATTCCTAATGCTCATAATCAAAATGGAAAAGCAATAAAATTGAATAAGAAATAGTTTATCTGGAATGCTATTGCTTGAGGAAAGTGACTTTACATAACAAAAGAAGAGATATAGAAGAATTTTTTTGAAAATTTGGAAGGCGATTTCTTAGTACTTTCGAGGTTAATAACCCTTACTCTTTATCATACTAATTAATTAAAATTTCAAATCATTCCTTTTCATTGTCACAGATATAATATCAGCATCGTTATTATGTTTATTAGCTTTATTAGAGGGTTGGGTTTTTTTTGTTTCAAAAATGGACTGGAAAGAATGGATAAGATAAAAAGAGGTTTTCTTTAGTGACTAGACAAGATTCAAAAGCAAAGGGAAGAATGTAAAGAGGCAGCATATGTATGAGTAGAAAAAGAGATTGTTGAAGGTAGAACTAATTGATTGTGAGATTGAAAAGCAGGGGCAAAGAGAGAGTATTTGTATGTGCACAGACCCTTTGAAAAGGAAGGAGGTGGTAGAGAATTTGAGGCATACAGTTCCCCAGGTTGGCCACCAGATGGAGATGTCACTCCAGCATAGTTGGGGTCTATTCCAATGTGGGGTTGGGAGTGGTGGATGTTTATCAGGTTTTCACAAACCGGTGCTAGTAGTTTGTAGAATGCCTGCATAGTCAAACTATTTCGGGTATTGTCAACTCAAATGAGTTTTTTTTAAACCTCAGTGAATGATAAAGGTCATAGTAAGACTTAACATTTTTTGAAATAAAAATATCAGCTTCTGATCACAAATAAAAATTCCATCCCAAATCACAATTAATGGAAATGGTAGACTAGTAAATTTTCACATAAATGTTCATTAATGCAAAGGGTGTGCTGAACCCCAAGGAGAGCCCCTTGTCAAATTTTCAGGGTGGGCATTTTCATCTTGGAAATCAGCAAATACTACAAATCAGGGTTTGATGTATTGTTTTATATATTGTAGGCTTATGGAGAAAACATTAATAATGCAAACGAAATGTAAAAGTGTGCTCTATGCACATTCCCTCTCCCTCACCCCCAGGGCCAGGTGTTAAACATTTACCAGCATGACTCTAATTAAAACCCTCAATTTTTTTTTCAGGCTAAATTCCCTGCCCCACAAATTTTCTTTTGTAGCTGAAATATTTTATCCCCAAAAGTGATTTGTATTTTAAAGTTAATTTTTAACCATCAAGAGTAAAGGGAACATATATTTGAAGCTTGATTCTCAGCTTCTGGTTTATGTAGCCCAACTGAGAGAGAAACCTCCTTTTAGTATCCCTTCTGTGCAACAACTAAGAAGTCTTTTTTTACATGCTGAAAATAGACTTGTGGAAATTCCCAATTCCCAACCTCATTCTCTGATTTATGGGCATCATCTCATTAAATTTGCCTACAACTGTGTTACATTCTTGGATAAAGCCTACATGAGTTCCATTACACTTTCCATTCATGGGGCACTTTATTCAGTCTGCTCTTACTCTACTTCATATGCCTTTAAAACAACCCGAAAAACCCAAAATAAAACAACCCAACTCCAAAATAACCTTTAAAGAAAAATAAAACAGCAACTTCCTCACTCTTTTCACCATACTTAATGCGTTTTACTGTCTTAAAAAATCCAAGGGATGCTAAGATGTGGTCAACCAAACAGATGGAGGGAAAAGTATCTAAAATTGTGCTTGTGGTCATATTTATGCATCATTGACTTGGGAATTCCTTCTTGGGGCATCCTGATAGGAGAAAGATCCATCCGATGCTCACCATCCTTGAATGCCTAACATACATCAGTAATGATGGTCTGATCTCTTCTGGCATGTCAGATGCTGCTGCTCCACCCTTACTGTGTTCTTTAATAGTAGATCTAAGACTCTGGGGCAAATGAGCACCTACAGCATCATTTTAAAAGGAGGCTAGGTCCACGGAAGCTCTTAAACTTACCGGTCTCCCAAACTCCAATTCCGAAAAGAATTTATACCAAGGTTCATTCTTTAAATCTATCTCTTCTGGGCTTATATCCCGAGTCTACAGGAGTTGGTGATAGGCGAATGGAAGAAAGAGAAGGATACCATTATGCAAAGATTACATAGGAAAAAGGACCATTAGAGATGCAGTACTTTCCATGTTGAAATGTGCCTGTTATGTCCAATGTTAGCATTTTTCTATTATTGTTGATATCTATTAGAAATGAAGAGTGGGGAAGAGGATGGGTTGGAAGATGTAAGGGGAAGGTGTAAGGTTTATAAAAAGTGGGGAGCTGAGGCTAGTCAAGGAAAGTGACTCAAATCACAGTCCCCAAGCAAATGCACTAGATAGCTAGGTAGTCCCATATTGATATCACTAGAGTAGGCTCCCTCCCACCCAGAGCCTAATAATATTCTTGTATAATATTGATATTTTGTATATTTTCAGAATTTGAAAAAAAATCCTTATTTCAGTCTTGCAAAGAGCCTTTCAACTAAAGTCAAGAACCAGCTATATTCACCAAATGTTTTTTCACAGTTTGGAAAATTTCTGGTAGATGTCTGCAAGCCTTGTTCATTTGTTAGGAAATAAGTCTAGTTGTAACACTGTACATAAGCCCACCAATTCATACTGCATCTTTAATGGCACATGAATATGCAAGAAACCACGTCCTATAAACAGTAAAGTGAAAGATGACCTTCCAAGTAGGAATAGAGGACACAAGTGGAAAAAACCCATTTCGAAACAGGTGTTTAAGGGATGAAGCAGACAATATTCTTTGTATTCTAATAAGCATTAAGGAATTAATTTTAAAAAATAAAAGTTAAAGAAAAGCTGGACAGGACAGATAACAATGCAATAGAAAGGAGAGTCACTTCTGGGTAATATTAAAATAGTATGTGTTAGATTTTTCATCCTATTGAATTCTCATGGGAGGACAATTTTCCTCAATATGATTTTATCATTTATATCTCTGTATAAAATTTAAATGCCTTATTTCTGAGGAACAAATATGTTCCTGAAAAATTGTCTATGGAATAAATTTCTGTAACTCTAATCATGTTTTCCCCATTTGCTACCATCACCATAAAGATGCATTCCCGTGGAGAAAGTTTTGGTCCCAAGGTAGAATTAAATTCATATACAAAAAAACCCATAGACACTGCAAAATCAGAAAAGAAATGATAATTTTTCTGATAAAATATGAATAATAAGGAAAATAAGCAAAAAACATATATATACTCTACCAAAATTTAAAACATTGTGACTGAAATTGCATTCCTTTGGGGTTCTCTGCAATATGAGTTGCCTCACCCTTTGAAATGGCTCTGTTTCTATGCCAAGTTTCTCATATTTTGTTATATTTTGTTATGAGGTGGCATCTCTTAATTTTAGTTTCGTTAATAGCTATTTTACAGTGGTTAGCAAACACCGATGGGTTTATTTAGCATCCTTTGAAAGTTCTTTATGGCTCTGGCTGACTCCTTTTCATACACGACACATGTCACATACATCCTTAAGAGGATTTTACCATTATTCTTTCCGTCTATACATTCAGATTTCCACATACTATATTTCCTTGAATGGGAGCTTATCTGGATTTGAGCTAACCTTTAACGAAAACAGAGACAGCATCCGCCAGTAGTAATGAGCAATACCAGTCAAGTTTGGCCCCTTTACTCAAATACCCCCCAATTTTGGCTTCTTTGGAGCCACATGCAATTCTCTCTGATTTAACTAAGGCCCTGACTCTGAAGCCCTGAGGGAGAAGACATCTGAAATAACCTAATTTAAGTATTTCTTTTTAGTAAAGCAAAAAAAAAAAAGCCAAAATTTAAATAATACTTGCCTAGTACTTAGGAGAAGACAGGTGTTCAGAAGGGAGTAGCTTAGGTCCTAATTGTGGAATAGCATTTCATGAAGTACTACTATATAGTTTATTCATCTCAAAATGTTATTTATAAACCATTCCCTGGGAATAAAGAAGGTATTTCTGGAAGCTGCATTAACTCTTTAAGGACAATTGGTACCCACTATCTTAACAAAACTAACCCAAGAATTCCTTTTTACTGAAGTTTCTCCTGCCAGGATTCAGTAAGGCTAAAGCTACAGTCAGATGTCAGTCAATACAGGGCTATAATAGCCTGTCCTCCCTCCCACAGTAGGGAAACAATTTCAGCAATTCATGAAACTAAATGTTAACGGAAACTCCCCATATGGCAGTAACATCTGCATTTCATTTTGTGGTTTGTAGCTTAGCTTTTGATCAAATTATGTATAAGATAAAAAATCCAAAATGGCCCCAAACTCCTGCATGCTTGCCTGGCCTACCTGTGGGGTTAGGTCCCATAGTACAAAGCACTGTCTTCCACATTTTTGCACTTATCCTTTCTACAACTTGGAACGGTCCCTAAAGTGCTACCACTTCTTGGTATAAACACCCCAGATCTCCTCTGAGATTAAGTCCAAACCTGGCTGTGTGTCAGTACTGCTGCCTATGCATGAGCCCGAGTTTATCATTTTAACAAGGAAACTGGACGATGGAGTAGGGAACAAATCTCATTAAGTTTCAAGATGATGCTAAGCTAAAGTAGGGTGGGTGACAAGTATAGGAGAGGAAAGGTACAAGCATTCAAAATAACTTCCATATATTAGAGAAGGGAAAAAAATACACAGCAACGAGTTTCAGCAAATGATTTCTTATTTTTTTGGTGGGGGGGGTTGAAGGGAGGGATTGCCACATGTCAAACACATGTAGGACCATGACAAAGAAGATGGTGACTGACCACAGCCAACCTCCCAAGTTTGGAAGAGGAAGGGATTTAGGTCACAACGTAAGGGAGTTGGATCAGATATAAGTGAGGATTGTTATACTTGAGAGAAGTTCACATCATAGGAGGCTGGAAGATTTCTACGAAGGCCTTCTAAGATGGCCATAAATCTCACCCATGTAGGATTGCTGAGATGTATATCTACCTATGGGGAGAAGAATCAGAAACAAGGATACCCCCCAGCCCCATGAGATTGTCCTGTCTAAACCTTTTGACAAATAGCTTACAGAAGTCTATCCAGACATAATTTTAAAAATGTCATACTCAGCAGGAATGTTCACTGAGACTATCAAGGAAAAACGGACCTCTTTAAAGGGACTTATGGGATTCTGAATGTAAAGTTTAATCCTATATATGTATATAAGCAATGTGTCAACCCATTAAAAAAAAAGATCAGCAATGAATAGCAAAACTCTGATTATGAACGCCAAAAGGAACACTTGGGGAATTCACACCCTAACTTCTCCATTCATGTTGCATTTGGAACTGCCAAAAACAAAACAAAAACAAAACCCCAGCAGGATCAAATACTGCAAAAATATAGGGATGGTTAAAATGTCACAAGAGATAGCATATTTATGGCCCTTGGATTGAAATTTCTCCTTTCAAATCATAATGTTCCACTCTTGCCAATGGTCTTCCTTTAAAGGTCAGTGCTCAACTTGGGGGAATGTGGCTTATCCTTTGAGCCTCAGCCAAAGTACCATCTTCTGCAAGAAGCCTTACCCAGTCCTCCTTAACCTTAGTACCTCCCCTCTGAGATCACCCTCAATTTATCCAGTATATAACATTGTCTCTCCCATTAGCTTTGGAGATCCTTGAGAGCAGGGACTGTTTTTTAACTTTCTTATAGTTCCTGGCACATAGTAGGTGCTTAATAAATGCCTTTGACTGACTGCTATTTAAATGCATTGCTAGCTTGTAGGGAACAAATCACTGAGGCCTCACTTTTCTCAAAGGCCCTTTTTTCTAGTCTATACTCCTCATTACTAGGTGCTACTAGAAACTTACAGGAGCTCCTGGCTTTCTCAAGGAGATCCACATGGAGCTCAAATGCAAACTTACAGCAGTCATATAAAAGAGTTGAGGACAATGCTGATTGATTCTTGGGGGTTTCCTCTAATACTACTTACAAAACCCTTAGGAAGCAAGGTCAAGGAGCAACTATATTACCTTATGAATAAGTATCACCATTTTGTGGCATACTGAGAAAATAACACATAAGGAACCCTCCCTATCTCCCCCAGTTCTGAAACAGATTCCATAAGCTACTAATAACTGAGGGGGAAAAATCAGAAAATGGGTCAACCTTCAAGAAAAAGACAGGACAATTTGGGAACAAATAGTGCCATTTAAAATTTCCTTAACCCTACTAAAATATTTTGGTGAAGGCCAGGAATGGTATTAAAGTGTACTATAGCTGGATAGTATTATTTATTTTTTTAAGGAACATATGCACCAAAGCATGCTGGTCCTATTGATAAAAATAATATGATTGTGATACAGAACTTCCAAATACAGAAAGGACGAGTAGCAATAGAAGCTGTTCTTCTGGAACTTTTTGCTTAAAATAACCACTTTACATATTAAAAGCTCAATATTAACAATTACGATCATTTCGGTGAATTGTTGACTATTTTCTGCAGTAATCAAAACTGTTCATTATATTTTTTAATATTAACCACATGATGATTCTAGTAAAAGATAAATCACCTATTACTTGAAAACATATGAACTGAAAAAATTTCAAGAAAATAACATGTATGGTGAGAAGACTATTTTTATTGTCTGTCTGTGTTATATGTGCTCTGGTCAGTTTCCCTAAAATCATATTCCCAGCATGAATTCCACAATGGAATTCCAGCAGTGGAAGCCAACTGCTGTGTTTGGTGGGACAAGAAGTGTTTGGCTGGCCTTTGAATTCCTTTATCTACACAATTCAGTATACAAACCAACTTTTTCTAACGTTTGATTACCAAAGGGAGAGTCTTTATCAAGCCTGCCTGCCATTTGCCTAGATTCTTCAATTTCACAGACTCAATGAATGGGCTTTGTTTGAAAAGATGGTCTCTTTTTCTACACATCCCATTTTTACATCACCAATTACTTGTAGATGTGAAATTATATAGAGAAGTCATGATGCCTGAAGAACACTGAATTTACACTCCCCCATTTCCCCTACCCCAACCACACATATCAAAGCAGGGACAGCTTCATAGAGAAGCAGCATTTAAAACTCATCCTCAGGGTATTTTGTTAACCATACCATCATTTTAAATACTGAATTTCTAACTCACTAGTAACTCTCTGTGAAATAGATAACATGATTAAAAACAAGGAGCCATACTTTTTAAACTATTTAAAGAGGCCAGAATGAAAACCTAATGAATTAACTAAGGATTAAAAAACAATGACACCAAAGACAGGTAGTAAATTAGCATTTTCTTAAAAATTAGAATTAGTAAATTCATGCATTAGGGAGAACAATAATCCACCCTGCCTTCCTCCCCCCCCCCAAATAAAAAAGATTCTTTAAAAGCAGGAGACAATTTCAAGAATTACACATGAGTCCTGGAAAGGTGAAATTAATGCAGAAATACTTAATATAAGCATTGTTCCACTGAATAAAGCAATTCCATCATAAGCAGAAAAATATAAATCATCTTTGTAATGCATTCAAGTCCAAGAAATCAGGAAAAAGGAGACAACAGAATGATAAGGTGGACTAATTACCATCTTTTCATTTGTCAGAACTGAGGACTTGCCCGGCTGATATTCATAAATGCTTTTAGGTTCTGCACGGTATTTTCTAGTGTCCACTTTCTTATCTGGGGGCTCCCAGTCATTCCTGTGGAAGGAAAATCAATTCAATTCATTATCAAGGCAAATGGCATCTCTTTTGGATGTAATACATGGGCAGGCTGCATCTCTAAAATAAGATCGCTTTGAAAGAAATGTATGTGTATAATTAGATAGGAACTGAAAAACAACAGATTATAGCCTACTGCTCTGATCTCATACAAGTCAAATTGGAGAAAAAAGAATAGGTTATATTTGGACCAATATTAGTCTGCCTGTGGCTAATTTTTGTTTAACTGAACAATTTTCAATCTGAATGAAGAAGCTTATTTCAGAAAGAATAATCTAGTTGTGTTTTTTTCTTCTATCTACAAATTTACAGTTTATAGTATGCTTCTGCTGCTCTTATGAAGGAAAACTTTTAAGTGAGGCAGGGGGAAAAAAAAAAACCTTAAAATGGTCTTGTTCACCCCATGCTCCCTCACCTCTTAGCACTCCAGACCCATTCTGAAGGCCCTTCCCTCCATCTAGGATGCCATTTCTCAGTATCTTCACCCATTGAAAATCTACCTGTCCTTCAAGGTCCAGCTACAATGCTACCTCCTCCATGCAGTTTTCCCTGGTTAACCAGCCATACATGTGGAGCTCTCATCACCCTCCATCTGGACCTCTCTTATAGTGTTGAACACACTACCGGTGTACTTTGGCTTTAACTGATGTGAAGAAGGGATTAGGTTGGCTCTGCTTGGCTCCACTGGCAGAGAACAAAGAGCAATGAGTAGAAGCTTCAGAGAGGAATATTTTGGCTCAATGGGAGCAATAACTTTCTGACAATTAGCACTGCCTAAAAGTAGAATGAGTTGCCTGAGAATAGTGGATCCTCCCTCATTAGACAGAAGTCTTCTGCAAAGGCAGGATGCCTGCTTGTCAGGGACAATAATAATAATTATTGGTCATAGCTAGCACTTATCATTTGCAAAGTGCTTTACAAATAGGATCTCATTTGGTTGTCACAACAACCCTGGGAGGCAGGTGCTATTATTATCCCCATTTTACAGGTGAGGAAACTGAGGTAAACAGGGGTGAAGTAACCTGCCCGAGGCCACACAGCTAGCGAGTATCTGAGTCTGGTTTGAACTCCAGTCTTCCTGACTGCAGGCTGTATCACCAGATACTTCTAGGGCCCCTCTCACTGTGAGATTCTGTGATTCTGTGTCTGAATCTCCCAGATGGGATTTTAACCTCCTTGAAAGAGAAGGAATAAAGGAATCAGAGCATGACTAAAAGCTAAGCATTCCCCAAAGTACCTAGCAGGAAGCCTTGCACACAGTAGGTGCCATTAAAAATATTAAAGGAATGAATGCTGAGAAATAATTTGTACTCCATGCGGATATGGGCAAAAGAAGGTGTGTTTGTACTTACCCTGTGTTCCTAATGAGTGATCAATTATCAATGTCACCACAAACATATATAAATTATATCTGTGTGCTATACGATTGTATACCTATATATGTAGATAAACAACATCTACATATATGTCAGATCTATACATGTAGATTTATATCAATATGTAAAATATATTATTTCTTTACAGATATAGATGTGTGTGTATTTGTCTCTATTTGAATATAGGTATTTTAAGACCAGATCAGAGAATTCATTGATATAGGAAACTCTCTACCCTAGTATAGACTGGTACCTGGCTCTTCAACTGATAAGACAGCTGCATGTAGCACAGAGAGCTTATGACTCCCAGAACCATGCAGACAACAAGAATCAGAGACAAGCCTTTAACTCTGGTCTTCCAGACTTCCAGGCTCATTATCCACTATATGATATTGCCTCTCATATGTAATATGTAGTCCCTGAACTGATAAAATCACACACCTATCTAGACACAAAACAAAAAACATATGAAGACATATAAAATACATGTGCCATTGCTTGTATTTCTATGTTTTATATAGCTCTTTCTTCACAACAACTCCATAAGGCCAGTAGTGTGAGTATTATTATACCCATTTTATAGATAAGAAAAGAGGCTGATTTTGAGAAGGGAATAGACTAGCTTTTAAAATATCCTTTAGTCAATGAATATCAATGAAGTGTCTACTTCATTGTGTATTGTGTAGCATGTGTACACAGTGAAAGGCACTGTGTTAGGTATGGTGTGATAGACAAAGATGTACATGACACGGTCTCTGCCCTCAACAAATTTGCAGGTGGCTAAACCTAAATAACTATACCTAAATACTATATGACAAGGCAGGTTGTGATCTGGTCCACATGAGGAGCCAAATTAGGAGTTGCTGATGGGAAGAAGAGAAAGTCAACTGGAATGATCAGGGAAGACAGCCAGAAGAGATGGCATTTGACATACATCTTGAAAGACGGATGGGATTTTATCAGGGGAGGTGATGGTGATGGACTGGGGAGGGAGAAGAGTCTGGAGACAGGAAGCTAGCTAGATGACTATCAAAGCACTCTAGGCAAAAGGCAAGACTTGACTGGGGGAAAGTAGGGTTAAGAAGGCAGCGACGGATTGCAAAGGTAAAACTGACCAGGCTTGCTGAAGTGTTGTGAGGCACAAAGCAGGTAGAAGGAGTCACAAATCATTCTGAGCTTGGGTGACTGGAAGAATGGTGGTGCCCAACACAGAAATAAGTCAGGAAAAACTGGTTTGTGGAGAAAGATTCGTTTTAGACATAATGAGTTTGAGGTAGTAGTGGGACGTCCAATTGGAAGTGGTCACACAAATCGTTAGAAATTATCTCCCTTCTATTATGGAATTTGGAGGAATCACAAAAATGTCTTTTAGCAAACATTTATTGAGGGTATAGCATATACAAGGTACTCAAGGTAGACACCATAGAAGACACTAAGAAGTATAAGATCATATGATGATAGATTGAGAGTTGGATGGGACCGTAAAGGTCATTGAGTCCAAATCTTTTATTTTACAAAAGAGGAAACTAAGGCCCAATGGGGGGAAGTATTTGCCCAAGGTAATACAGCTAGTGCCTGCGGCGAGATTCAGACCTAGGTCTTTTTGACTTTAAATCCAACACCCTATCCACTACAGCATAGTCCCTACCCTTAAAGAATTGGTCCTTAAAAGATGGTTAAGATTAACAAAGGTGGAGAGGTAAGGAGCAGACATTTCAGGCAAAGGGGATAGCATAAGATAGAGTATGGAGGTGTATAGATGCAGAAAAGCTTGTTCTACCTTTGCCTGGGTAGGATATAACACTTCATTCTTTCACACTCAAAAGAAAGGTGTGATCTGTATATCACTTTCCCTTCCTGGAAAGGGAAGTATATTTGGGGTATTCAGTGGATGATAGAACCAGCTTGACACTGGATGAAGGAGCTGTATGGTTGGAAGGAACCGGGTAAACTGAGAATTCACAACGTCACAGAAGTTCAGAGTTCGGAGGGTCCTCAGTGGCCGTCTAAGTCAGCCCTTACCTGAAAAAGAATGTCCTTTAGTCTTTGTCTCAAGACCTCTAAGGTGGGGAAAACTACTATTTCTTGAAGCAGCCAATTCTACTGTGGGACGGTTCTGATTTTTAGGAAATTCTTCCTTATATCAAACCCTAAACCTGATGTCAAACATGTGGTGTGAAGGACTGTGGGGACATTTCTTAATTCTCCCATTACCCAAAGCAATAGATTCAGAACTCACATAGTAGGGACATACACCAATGGTCTGACTTTTGAGCTACCTCCCTCTCGGGACCTCAGTTTTTTTCATCTATAAAATGAGGAGGTTATACTGGGTGATCTCTAAAAAACATTCTTCTTCTAAACCTATGATCTGATGAGCCTATGGTGTCCTGAGACAAACTAGGCTAGAGCTCAGGTTTTGCCTAATGGAAGAAAATTTCAAAAGCCTATAGAGTCTATCTAATATGGTTCCTTTAAATTCAGTTTCCTGAGTTGGAGTGGATGGTACCTTTTTCAGATTGGAGTAAAACAAAACTACTAAGAAAGGATTGGATTTGTAGCGAGGCCTGTGATTTGCACTTTACCAGGCAATTGTCTAGTTATGGCAAAATTTATGGGCATTTGTCATTCATCAGTCATGTTGACAGAGCAAGACATCCCAGGAAGACTCTGAGGCCATAGAAACAAAAAATGTGTTCCTAGAAATTGCATTATAAAGAGAATTATGTTTTTTCAAAAGAATAATAATTAGGGGTCATATTCTGAACAAGGAAGGATTTGGAATCAAGTAAATCACAGAAAAGATTAATGATAGGTAATACAAGCAAGTAAACAATAATTAAAAATATCCAGAATCATTTAAAATAGAAGTGTGAGCTGAGTCCTATAAACTGGATTGTACATGTGGATCACACAAGGGCCCCCAGTATACTATGAATACAGTAGCTTAAAAAAGTACATCTTAGCTATATTATAATTTTGGCTCAAAACGAATATGCTAGCTATTAAACATTGATTAAACATTTAATTAACAATAATTTTGCTTGCCTTCTTAGGATTTAGAAGGGCTTTGGGGGGATGGTTTAGATGGCCCAGGTCTCTTAAAAAAGCTGTCCAAGGAAGTCTGAACTGATGCCTTCTTTTCTCTTGATAAATGTCCCTGTAGCAAGTAGAGGCATTCAAAATCATTCCATTGACCTTAGAGCTAAGCTGAGAGTAGTAGGTGCTCAATAAATGTTCACTGTTGATGATGAGAATAATGATAATGGTGGTGGTGCTGTTTCTCCCACTGAAAACCATTTTTTTTTTTAAAAAAATAAGTGTTGATAATTCTCCCTACATTCTCTTCTACCTCCCCAGTTTCTTCAAAGTTACAAGAACAGCAGCTTAGTATCAGGTGCAAACAATACCACTGGAAAGTAAGAAGGCCTGTTATGCCACTAGGTTTCATCCTTTACTGCCACAGGACCTACCTGGCACTTAACTAACGTCATATTAGAGCACTTGACACTTTACTGGAAAACAATACTAACAATTTAATTACCGATAACTAGATTGGAATTTTTTCTACAAAAGAACTCCAAAGCACTACTCAGCAAATTATATAGATGGATATAAGAGAGGATCCTGATGCCCTGTGTTCAGATATTAATAGAAATAACCAGCAGCCTCAGAGAATAGATGTGAATTCGTCTGGAGTCTTGAATGAATAGCGATAGGGACTAGATGTGATGTGATTGCTTTATGGAAGTCCCAGGTGAGGAAACTCTCTCTACCAAAGCAGGTTTTGAACCTTCTCTCCAATTTATAGTCTTAGAAAGTTGCCTAGAGTCCTGAGAAGTTTGCCCATGGTCAGACTGCCAGTATGTGTCAGAAGCAGAGCTTAAAGCCAAGTTTTCTCAGCTTCTAGGGCAGCTCACTACCCACTGTATCACACTGCCTCTCTCTTACATGACTGGGAGCAGAAAATATCACATTACACAAGGGGAAAGGAGATCTCGTAGATGTCTTCCAGATCTATGGATGTGAACCAGGCTGTTTCATGGATGACCATCTTGGTTTTCTTCCCAAGTGGCTCTGTATTCTGCTCCCTTAGTTTCAGGATTTGCCCTCAGAAATCTGTCCTCTTTGGACACTATGTAACAAGAGGAGTTAAATGTCTCATGGATTTGGGAAGTTGGTCTTCCACAGCCTTCCCAATGGTTTGAGGACCTGTCTTATTCCTTTTTGGGAAAGGTCTGGGGTGAGGTCTAAGGAAGGTACCCAGATTGAATTATGTAATCTACTTGAAAACACAGATGAAGACCCAAGCACCCAACGTGATGTTTTTTGTCATTGCTCTAGGATAAGGTGTTCTCACAGGGCTGGTAAACTTGACTGTGGTGGGTTGTGGTAAAGTGTCTTGCTAGATTAAGACCTAAGTCTTACGTGTGATGATCAGTCAGGAGTGGTGATCTCCTTCTAGAGTGGGAGTGGCATGATATGAAAAGCTCTTGAATCTCACATCCTTCTAGATCAAGGATACTTAAGAGTGACACCTTCTCCAAATGAATGGGTCTCAAGGAGATGTTATAACCTCTAGGAAACATGCTATCTGTGGGCATATTTTGAACTTCATAGTTGGGCCATGGATGGCATAAAGAATGAATCATAGGATCATAGACTTAGGCTGGAAAGGATCTGAGAGGGTCATACAACTTTTAAGTGGCAGAAGTAGGATTTGAACCCATGTTAGAGGAGGCACTAAGGTAAAATAGAAAGAAGTGAACTTGGAGTTAAAAGATCCAAGTTCAAATCTTATTTTAAATGTGTGGCCTGGTCAAGCCACTGAAACTTTGGGTCTCAGTTTCCTTATCTTTATAATAAGAGCATTGGAATAATATGGGGGTGATGAGCCCAATGGTCCTTCTGGGTCTATATCCATAATCATACAATTTTGGTTCAATGCCCCCTCCATATGGTCCTTTCTATGACTCCCAGTTTGGTGTTCCTTCTATTAGACCTCAGTGGTTTTAGTTCTCTGCAGGTCAATGTGCTTATCACATAGATAGCACAACAGTATCCTCACCACAGAATCTGGGCTCCACCAGGGGTAAAAACATGGTGCAGGGGAATCCTAGGCTACCTCCATGCAAAACATGTCAATAGAGAAGACATAAAGAAGGAAGAGCTTGAGTCAGGAAACAGAGTTCTCCTTAAATGTTGGATAGAGAAGAGTGAAAAGAATCTTCTAAATCCAGAGTTGGAAATACTTCCTATGTGGTTTATCTATGGCCCTATTAAGGGGGGGGGGGGAGCATGGTGGTCACTACAAAGTAACACTGCCTTCCTAGCTTCCATGCTATGAGGTATTCTGGGTACAATGCAAGGCCAAGAGGAAATGGCATGAGACTTTATGATCATAATCTCTGGGCTAAAGGAAAGTAGGCCTAATATTGAACTTTTTCCAGGAAAAAATTGGAATGGTCTCAGCTAAAATAAGTTATGGGGCTTCTACTTCATCCTTCAGTATTATTTAACTAGCTCTTTCATTTCTTTGTACAGGTTCAGGATTTAGATGCACAAAGAAGCATTTTTTTTTTTAATTTTGGAAAAGAAGCCTGGTGTCCATGGATGCCAGACCAAAGCATATGGCCTATACTCTATTCTGTGAGAAAGCTAAAAACTTCAACTGCCCAGAAATAAAGCAAGTAAAGAGTCTACTAATGGTTGACACTGAAGTCACTTTGTTCTCAAAGAATGAATGTCTGTAAGGGGAAGTCTGTTACCAAAATCATGAACTCAGGGCAATTGAGGTGGAAGAGCAGGAAGGCAGCAGCTGATGTTGCCAGCCCTAAGGAAGGCACCATCCTTTCTCCTCTTCTTCAGTTGAGTGTAAAAGCAGCACATAGGCAAAAAGGTTGACAGGGACACCCCCAGGTCTCTGTCCTGGGGCTCCTGAAACCACCCTTTACAGTGTGTCTAATGTCTAAATGTCTCACTAGGAAGGAGAGAGCATGAGAGCCACGTGAGGTTGCTAAATGATGCAATCCTGGGGTATCTGTGGTATCATTAGCTGCGAGATTTTCTCTGTGTATCTATGTTTGTGTTCCTTAACGCTATGTGTGTTTCTAGGGAACCTTTGCTCACTGGGCTGTGCTGAAAGCTGCCTAAGATCTTGGTCAAAGGGTACACCAAAGGACTGAGTCATCACCAAGGTGATGACCCTATGGCATGAGGTCATAAATAGATGTGTCTTTGACAACATCTGGGAATTTCCTTCTTGTGTGTGCCTATGTGAAAGATTATGAGATTCCTGAAGGGGAGCATGGAGAGAGAGAGAGAGAGAGAGACAGAGAGAGACAGAGAGACAGAGACAGAGAAGAAGAGAGGGAGAGAAAGAGAGGGGGAGAGGCAGAGAGAGAAGGAGAGACAGAGACGGAGAGGCACAGACAGAGAGAGACAGAAGGAGAAAAGAGAGAAGGAGAAAGGGAAAGAGAGAGACACAGAGAGGGAGAGAGAGGGAAAGGAGGGAGAGACAAAGAGACAAAGGGGGAGAGAGAAAGGGAGAGAGAGAGAAAGAGAGAGAGCAGAGATGGAGAGGGAGAGAGAGATTGTGTTTTTGTGGTTGGGAGCGTTTGGAAATGGTCAAGTACCTGGACTGTGAGATGGAGAAAACCCTACCCCAACTCTCATATATTTCAGCATGTTCACAGTATGTTCAGGACTGAAAATGCAGGATATGACAGAAAAAGTGAGTCCTTCATTTCATAAATGAACAGTTGTCTGACATTAGCATTAGAACAAAAGGCAAGCCTTTTGCTAAAGGTGCCATTTCCTTTAAAAATTCAAATCCAGTCTGGGCCCTCACCCTTCCAGCCCATAAACTAAATATTAAAACTCACTCAACCTTGCAGCTAAGATTTTCTTTGTGAAAAGGGGAAAGGAATCCTTATGGGGTATCGTCACCTCATGACCTGGAGGCAAAAGGCTCATTTTGGCCTCTGAGGGACAGAGGGTTGAGTCAGTCTGTCTCGTACTTCTCCGTCATAAAGTTACAAAATCTCTTATTGCCATACTACCAGAGCATGTTAGTGCTCTGGAACTTGGAAAGAGAGGGCTGATGATTTCTTTATAGCTGCCTTCCACCCTAATGGCTTAGACTCAAAAAGGTGGCATGGCTCTGGCAAGAGGCTTACAAAAACAGAAGAAGGCCTTTCCACCAGAAATGCCCAGTAAGTCTTCCTGTCTGACCAGTGCCTGGCATGCAACAGATTTTCAATAAACATTTGATGATGATAATGGCAATGGCAATGCGAATGATGAGTAAAATAATGAAGAAATACCTTTCCGGGCTCGATTTCAAAGACGTAGAGCGGGAGGGTAGGGGCAGCGTGGCAGACCTCTTGACCACCTTCTCTGCATCGATGTACTCCATCTCACTTTTTGAACGAGGCACCGAAAAGGGGATTCTTGCTATGGGGGGAAAGAAAAGGATGACAAGATTCAGTGTGTCTCTTAGGTCCCCCAGCAAATCTGAGCAAGGAGGACAGACTTCCCCCACCCTCCACTAAGTAATTCCAGGTCACTTACAGTCTTCAGAATATGAGTATCGAGGGGAGTAGAGCTCTGAATCATCATCTGGTAAACAAAACAAAGCGTAAGTAGGTTAAAAGCTAGCAAGGTAAAAGAATCCATCTGATTTAAAAAAAAAAATTCAGCTTGCTCCCAATTGCATCCTGACATGCCAGAAAAACCAAAGCAAAAGGAAAGGGGTTTAATATCAAAAGCTTCACTACAGAAACAGGTGAGATGTTTGTAGTGTAGACACATGAGACTAGAACATCACTCCCCCAAAATCCCACTCTGAAGACTCGAGGGATGCCCTTGGCATAAGCTAAGGGGCAACTGTAACCAATACCTGAAGGATGAATGGTGAGAGCCCTTCCGCTGATTCAGTCAAATCAAGCTCCCTGTCCTGGCTATAATCCCAGGGTCAAGTAATGGGAAGTCAGGGAGTAAAAGACTCAAGAGGTACCCCTACCCACTTTTCCTTTGCTCTGCTCCCCTGTGTGACCCTAAGCATGACCTCAGTGTGGTCTTCTACCTGCCCCAATGTGCCCATGGAATTTCTGGTTCCACCTCAGGCTGATTTCATAGGACCCCATGGAGCCATGTTCATGGCTCTTGCTACACTTCTGGCTAATGTGTGTCTGAGCCAACATTAGAGAAAAGTTGAGTAAGAGGGAAAACTGGGCAATCAGTGGAAATAATTAAACCTACTGGCATTTTTTTGAGCTAGAACTAGTCCGATGGGGTGTGGCATTTCTAAGCTTCACATCCTACTAAATGCACTGATACTTCACAGAAGTGTTGTTGTAAGGAAAATGCCCAACCTGAGCATGAATAGAATTCCTGTCTGAAATGCATTCCATTCTTTATGTCTAAAAATGCCCAGAAGCCTCCTCTCTTCCCTGACAACTGTCCATCAAAATCCCACTCCTCCAAGACTCAGCTCAAATAGAAATTCTCCATTATTTCCCCTCAGTACAAATATACAAATGAATGAAAAATACATAATCTCATTAGCATGAGGGAACTCCCTGTGTGGGAACTCACTTCACCAAGACAAACAGGAAACAGTTCTGTTTAATTGTTTCAGTTATATCCATCTCTTAGTTGGGGTTTTCTTGGCAAAGATACTGGAGTGATTTGCCATTTCTTTCCCTGGCTCATTTTACAAATGAGAAAACTGAGGCAAACAGGGTTACGTGACTTGCCCAGGGTCACCCAGCTAGTAAGTGTCTGAGGCCAGATCTGAACTCAGAAAGATGGGTCTTTACTGTGCCACCTAGCTGCCCTCATTGTATAAACAGATAAATTCTAAGGAGTTAACTGAGGCTTAGATAGGTTGAATAACTTGCCCAGGGTCACATAGCTTAGTAAGTATCAGAAGCAGGATTTGAACCCAAGCCATTTTTCACCCCAAGTCTAGTTTTCTATCCACAGTACCACACTTCAAGTTATGAAACATCCAATACCACCCTCAAGTGGAATTTCTTATGCCAATGATTTATCAAAAGAGCTAATACTGATTCTGGGTATATGCTAGGTACTTGCTTGGTTCCACTGTCTATACTAGTGACTGTCTACACTAGCAATTCTTCAGCTTTTATGGAGTTACAGCCTCATATTCTGCTCTCATTTGATGTGGGCTCAACTACTCTTCTTAAGAAAGCTATAAGGATATATATTTATTTTTCTAATTAAAGTGCCATAAAAACATTACTTATTTATCGAGGATTTTATGAGTCTCTTTGGAATAACCAGAGCTGCTACATGGCTATTACAAAGACAGGATTAGGAATGAGTGGCCCATAAAAAGCATGAAGCTATCAGAAATGAGAAATGGGGTAAGTGTCAAGAGAATGCATTTGCATAATCACTCCCAGCATTAGTAAAAATGATTATGCATGTAATGATTACATTTATCTCAAGCCTTTAAATTTATTAAAATAATTTTTTTTTTTGCTGTTGCAACAATGGCATTTTCCTAATTTTTTTTTCCTAAGGTTCTAATGTCACCACCACTACTTACAGTATAGACCAGGAGAAGAAAGGGCAGGGAGAGAGAAACAAAGGCTAAGGCTTTGGGACACACACACACACACACTCTCTCTCTCTCTCTCTCTCTCTCTCTCTCTCTCTCTCTCTCTCTCTCTCTCTCTCTCTCTCTCTCTTAGGAAAATAGAAACAGATACATGCAGGGACAGAAACATTGTGACCCAGGGGAAGAAGGTAGGAAGGAGACCCAGAGGAGAATAGGAAGTTTTAGAGGGCCAGGGAGATTCTGAGAACTGTCTAATCACACATGTCCAGGCACAGAGATTGGACTGAAAGCAGGAAGATTCTTAGGAATGGCAGACTTCAGAGGATAGCAAAAGTCGAGGGCCAGGGATTCAGAGATGGGGAGGGATTTTCTTCCCCTAAAGGATTAAGAGGGAATGGACATGAGTAAAAGACCATTGAATGAGGCCCCAAAAGGGTAAGGAAGAGAGAGACTCACCACCCCTTGTCCTCTCTCCTCCCTCCTCCTGCTGCTCCAGTGAAAGTAAGAGAAAGATCCCAACTCTCACCTCTGTCCAGAAGAACAGACTAAGCCTCTTCCGCTTCCTTTGCTCAGAGCTCCTAAGGGGCTTTTTGTTAGGAGGGCAAAGGTGGCAAAGTTCTGAACAGCTCAGCATCTCCTCTGGGCTGCATTTTCTGTAGAAGGCCCAGTATATGTCCAATAGTCCACTGGGCAAATAGAAAATCTATTCTTAGAAATCCTGCAGAGCTGACAGAGGAATTTTTTAATTCAAATCTGGATATTCCTGGGAAAAATCAATCACCGATAATGTATCAAGGTGTACTTCCTATCTAGGAAAAGACAAGAAGGATTTTCTAACCCACTTCATTATGAGACAACCCTGTAATTAGCAGTAATCTCAGGTGGCCCCATATTGCCTTCATTCCCTATTGTTATACCCCTAGTGTTAGGCAGGGGAAGAAATGGGGTGGAAGGAGATGTTGGGGAGGAGAAACACCACAAAACAAAATAAACAAACTCTCTAGGTCACCACTCATTTGGATAGGCTCCCATAGGAGACCATGGCCTAGATAAGGGATGACAATGAATGTGAGCTTGCCTTGACTAATAAAGGGTAGGAACAATACTCTTAAAATGTTAAACTGACAGCATACCTTCCATTTAGCATCCTATGCCGAGCTCTCATTATGTTATGGAAGTGACTATGTTCTTGAAGGGTGAGAAAAGTTTTAGTGAATGAGTGGGCGATTCAGTGGAAAGGGTGCTAGATTTGGAGTTAGAGAACCTGGGTTTGAATTGATAATCATTTAAGATCGACTGAGCCCCAATAAGGGCCAAAAACCTGAATTAATCTTTTCTTCCTGAGTGAACTGAGAAAGCCCTGCTTCCCCTGTCAACAGCTAAAGCTGATGAAGAGCATTCTTCTGTCTGTGACTACCAGGGCCTTTAACCCAGACACTCACCACCTTGAATAATGGGACTTTTCTTATCTTGATATTCTATGGTGGTAAAGGAAACACAGGTATCCTGGCTCTGACATTTGCCTATCAGTTAACACAGACATCCTGAGTCAGGGTTTAAATATCCTGCTAAAATTGCTTGATTCAGTTGGAGTTAAAGCTCTGCCTCCATGTAATATGCTACATGCTGCTAACTTATGGGAATAAAATAATATGAATTTACTTATCACCCAGCTTGTTGTCTCTTTAACCAACTTTCAGGTCAACAGAGTACTGGTCAGTCACTCAGCCTCTCTCAATGAATGGAATGGAGAGGTAGACCTATATGATCTCAAAGGTTTTCCAGCTCTAGTACCTAAAATTCTATGATCCTGAACATGGGCCTTGAGGATATAAACTGACAACCAAGTTAAGAGGGGCTCATCTTCATGCTGACCACCAGGGGACGAATCACTTCTGGTCCTGACTTTGAAGGAGTCAGGCTTGATATTGGTGGGTATGCCCAGATGGAGGATATCATGGATCTGAAGCACGGAAAGGGTATTGACAGAAGATCTTTTCAAGTCAAGTCATTCATAGAAGTTCATAATGTCTTCTGATGCTCCCAAAGTCACTGATTTAGCTTTGTTGTTTTTGAATAATTTAGCTGTTTATATGTGGGGAGATAGCATGGGAGATAAGAGTGCTGGACTGGGAATCAGAAAGACATGAGTTCAGATACTAACTACGACTTAAGCTGGGTGGCCTTGGGTAAGATGCTCCCTCAGTCTCAATTTCTTTATCTGTAAAATGGAGATAATAATAGCACCTGTGTCGATAGGTCATTGTAGAGATCAAATGGGATGATATATGTCAAGCACTTTGTAATCCTTAAAGGGTTAAATTAATGCTAGCTATTAATAATATCTCAAAGGAAGCCATTTAGAGATGCAAATACAGGCCTCATATAATGGAATAAATTAGTTATAGTAAAATTATTATACTAATAATTTGTTATAACATCACACTATATTATGATGTTATTATTACAGCATAATAATAATAGCTCACATTTATGTAGCTCTTTCAAGGCCTTCAAAGCGCTTTAGGATAGGCAGCACAGAGCAATGGAGTAGAGGGCTGGCTCGACTCTAAGCAAGTCATTTAACATCTCATTAGAGTAGGTGCCTATTTGCACTGGTCAAGGAAGTTACCTTCCAGAATTCTCCATATTGAAAAAAACCACCAGTAAAGTTCCCCCAAAATATGCCTTATATACATTACCTCACTTGAGCCTCACAAAACACACACAGACACACACACACACCCCTACCTTGTAAGGTAGATGTAGTATGATTCCCATTTTATAGATGAGGAAACTGAGGCAACTGAAGTTTAGGGAAGCTAAATTGTGATTGGGCCATGACCACAAAGCTAGTAAATGTCCAAGGTGGGATTTAAACCTAAGTCTTTCTGATCCCCAGTCTTCATGTTTTTATTCATTGCTTTTACATTGACTTTCATAACAAAATGGGTGCATTCTACTGATAAAAATGCTGTTTGCTAAGAGGTAATAAATGCTTATTCAGTAATGAGATTATTCTAGATTTGGA